TAAATGCCTAATAAATTGAGCAAAATTGTTCATTTCAAGCAGCAGCAGGCATCAACTTACCTTTTGCTTATTAATTAGATAGAGAGAGAGAGAGAGAGAGAGAGAGAGAGAGACGGCGACATGTGTGCTTTAGGGGCTTGGCTTTGTCTCAATTTGCAGCTGTAATTATTTGAATCAAATCAGTTTTCCCAGCGCACTCGTTCGCCTTGCTTATTCCACTTGCATGCAGTTTTCAATTTCGAGTTGATTCAATTATTTATTCAACTCGAATATTAATCACAGCTGATGCGCATCTGTCACGCACTCGCTCGACAAGTGGCCCACGCGCCCTTCTTAATTTTGATTGATCGGCTGCTAAACCAGCTGCCACGTGCCCTGGGCCTCGCCCTCGCCCTCGCCCCCTTCGCCAGTGACGTCTCGGTTGCTGCGGCGCTGCACAAAGCAATTAATGCCAAGCAACGCTCAGTGCACACATTTAATCAAATGCGAGTGACATGACATATACCCGTGTACCGAAACCACCTGCTTAACTCGCTCCCACTCTCTCTCCCTCTCTCTCTCGCTCCCACTCTCTCTCAAGCTCCAGCTGCAGTATTTCCGTTTTAATCATTGCCAAAATCCGTCTTACAGCTAATGCCAAATTGCTTTTGCTCTGGCTGCTGCTGCAGCACAGTGCGATTTGCTTAGACAACTTCATTTGCCGTCAAGATGTTTTGGCCCAAAAGAAATTGTCTAACAGCGAAAGCAAAGCAGGAGACAGACGGAGAGAGAGAGAGCAATGCGCTGCAGATTTGCCACTTTTGTATCAATTTCAATTTCTGCCAGCTGAAACTTTTGCTTTAATGCCTCACTTAAGCGCAAACGTGCCACGAATTTGCAGTTTTTTCTTTACAACAATTTCTTCTTTTCTTTTTTGGCTGACAGCTGGCGTTGCCTGCACAAGCAAATGTTTGCTTACATATGTGAAATTGCGCGAATGTGCGAGATTTGGTTGCGATAGCAACAACAACAACAACAGCGACATATAAACACTCTATCAAATATTGTAATTTTTGACAGCGAATGCGAGCAATGAAATGATTTTTTCTTCTTGCGGGGGCTGCTCTATGTGTGCGTGTGTGTCTGTGTGTGTGTGTAGGTGCCAATGGCAGGCAACTCTCACATTTGACATTCAAAAGTCATTGATAATTATGGATGAAACGTGAACGACAGCCGCATCGAGGGATCACAATCAATTCTTGATTAGAAAACGCAGCTCGACAGCAGAGGTCGGCCACCTGTCCGGGCAACGGATAAGGGTGTATGCCTCTGTATGCCAAGTGGGCGTGTCTGGGTACGCACGCGTGTATGTCAATGTGTGTGCGTGTATTTGATTGTGTGCGTAAATTGAATTTTGATTTTGCACCGATGCTGAGATATGGCATATTAGGCCCAAGTAATCAGATGTGGGGCGAGGCGCAGGAGACGGCAGCACTGGCTCCAGGACTATAGGCATTTAATCTTTTGTGTGTGTTTGCTTGTGTGTGTGTGTGTGTGTGAGTGTGCGTGTTTGGGGCTGCCCATTTAGGCTTACCCATGTGAGTTAGCAGACACAATCCATTGTCAAGCTCCAGCTCCTGCTGTTGCTGCTCCTGCTGCTGCTGCTGCTGCTGCTACTGCTGCTACTCCTGCTCATGATGAAATTCGACAACACTTTAGCTGTGGGCGGACATGGGCTATTGCCGGTGCTACACTCCGGGTCATATCAATTAAAAATTCATGAATCATTTGACAAACTCTTTGGGTCTGCACAAATTGTAGCCATTCGACGGGGCCAATCAGACGACGCTCAGATTTGATGCTGTCAATTTCGCAGTCAACGTTACGCTTGGGCTTTTCGTTTTTTGCTAGGCCATTACCATTGTTTGTCACACACACACTCATATAATAGCCAATTGTAGATGCAGAGTAATCTGTTGTAAAAGGTACAAAACTCGTTAATTCCCCGAGTTGTGTCCTTTTTGGCAGCCTTTAAAGGGTTTTCCATTACATTAGCGTCGATTGTTCCGAGATCTTTGCTGTTGTTGTTGCTGTTGCTGATGAAGTGACTTTTGACTAGCTGTACGAAATAGTGTTTGATGTATACCCAAATATCTTGATGGCAACTTGGCGGAAAGTATTTTTGCCCATTGCCCCTTATTGTCTTTAATTTGATGCCAAAAAGTTGTGCTGCCCATGGCTCTGTACTTATTTGTGTAGCACACCTCGTTGCCAGGGCTGCCAACATTCCTGCTACTGCTGCTCCTGCTGCTGCAACAGTTCCGCTCGGCAGTTTCCGTTCGGCTTGATGATTTCATGGAAAACTTCATTGAGCAAGCGGAAACTATTTCATTTGGCGCTATAAATGTTGTCAGGTGTACTGGATGGTGCGGCAGCGGTGCGGCGGTGCGGCGGTGCGGCGGTGCGGCAATGCTGACTGCCGCTGGTAAGTGGGTGAGTGCTTTTTGAGTGTTTTGGAAGTTTTCAATATGGTAGCTGCCACAAAAATGATTGAGGCCACGGGCTGGCTATTTAAAATACAAGCGCTCTGCTTATGAAAATGTTGCGAGTTCATTTTGACAAAACAGAAAAGCTGAAAATCGAAACTGAACTAGAAAAGCCAGCAGCAGCACCAGCAGTCAGTGTGGAAAAGGGTTTTCGGCATAAATGAAAGACTTTAATTAAAAAAGCTGTAACTAAGCTAAGGAAAACTGCATGAAAATGTGAAAAATTAATTAAGTCATATCAAAGCAACTCAAAGTCCGACCGAAATAGCCAAAAACAGACAGAAAGAAAGAGAGAGAGAGAGTAGAAAGATGCTTAAAATGCGAAAAGTGATGAAATATCGGACAAAAAATCTGACATATTCCGGCTAAAGGCCAGGCCGAATACTAATTAAGTGCAAAGAGTTTGTGAGCAAGTTCACAGTGTTGTAAAACGCCTGTAAGCCACTCGCACAATGCTCGTTGAGGCGCTTTAATGGCTTCCTCACTTGCTCAGCTCCATTATATATAAATTTATGTATATATATAGCCTACCCAATTAATCAGAGCTACAAGCGATGCACCTCAATTCGATTCAATGGAATTGCCTTGCGCCCCTCGCACCCTCCCTTTCCCGCAGCCCAGTGAAACCCCTTGGCAGAGCTCGGGCAGAAGATGCTTTGATGTGCTTGTGCCTGTGCTTGTGCCGGGTTTCCCTTTTTATTTTATTTTTATTTCTTTTTATTTTTGGCAATTTGAACTCGGAAAATATTTATGTTGCCTCTTTCTTGTTGCTGACGAAGTGGAGCCAGCTCACGTTTGGGTATTTGCATGCCTTTGCACTCCTTCGATTAATATAAAATTTGATTAAACTTGGCCAACGACAAACGACGATGAGGGCGACGCTGACGACGTCACTTGTGGGTTAAGCACACATGACTTTGCTGCTGCTGCTCCTGCTGCTGTTTCTCTGAGGATTTGGGCGTGGCTGGTGTGCAAACACAGGCGAGCACATGCCACTTGACAGTTGCCCATTTGCCGTAGCCCGTAGCCCGCTCTAACCGAAGCGTCGGGCAGTCAAATAAATAACTTGTAAAACATGCATATGAGCAAAAATGTTTGAAAATTGCCAAAAACGTAAGAGGCAAGAGCGGGCGAAAGTGCGGCCGGGCAAAGCCAAAGAAATGGGGCCAAGGAATCGACGGGTCTGCCTCAGCCAGAGCAGCAGCAGCAGAAGCAGCAGCAGCAGCAGGAAGCGAAGACGAAACGAATAAACACATTGTAAATTGATTTCCTTGGGAACTCAAATAAAAATGGCATGAACAGCAATAGCAGCAACGGCAACAGCAGCAAGTGAGCGACGTTGTGGGCGTGGCTGATAGCTGGGGACAGCAGCCAGCACCACCCAATTGAAACGAATGAATGGGCAAACCAATTTTTATTGCCACGCGGGACACGTAGCGAAGGAGCGCGCGCACCACAGCCTCAGTGCCGTTGCCCGCACGGGACCAAGCTGCCACGCCCCCACCCAATGTCCGCCTCTATCCGCTATGCCCTGGCTGCTGCCTTGTCTCCTGTCCTGTTGCGAAAGCAAAATTGGCGCACTGGGCTCTCCCTCTCTCTCTCTGTGTGTGTGTGTGTGTGTGTGTGTGTGTGTGTGTGTGGTGAGAACGGAAGGAAGTCGCAGGATGGGCCCAGGCAGAGCAGAGCAGCGCTGTCGTTCTCGACCCGGCTTTTGATGGAATGCTCGCTAGCCAGTTCGCCTCGATAACATGGCCAAGAAACTGTTTGCCATTGCTTTAGCCAGGCCATCTCTTCTCCTAGCAGCTGCTCCTGCTGCTCCTGCTGTTATTTTGTTTAGATTCGTTTTCTGAGTCGTCTTTCTTTCCTCTGATTGTTGTTGTTGATATTGCTGCCATTGCTGTTGCTGCTGTTGTCAATTGTTGTCCATCCTTCCACCCCTCCCCTCGTTCAGGGCTGGCTTTCGCTTCTTGTCCCACGTTGCCAACTTCACTAAAAATGCAGGCGAGAGAAGACAAATTGCTTTATCGACGACATACGTAACAAATGTTGCTGTCGGCAGTGACAACGGCAGCAACAGCAACAGCAACAGCAGCAGCAGCAATGGCAATACAAACAACGACAACAACATGGAGCCAGTCAACCATTATTGGTATCAAATGGCTTACGGGGTCGATTCGTATCGGGTTGAATTGTGAGTGTGTGTGTCTGTGTGAGTGTGTGTGTGTGTGTGTATGTGTGTAGTGTGGGAGCTGCCTGACTGGCACTGTTAATTATGACTTAATTATTTCAATTATTGCTTGGCAGACTTATTACATTTTCTCGTTGTCAACAGCGACGACCTCATCTGCCTCTCTCCCTGTCTCTCTCTCTCTCTCTCTCTGTATAAATGAAATCTCTTATGTATATGTATTTGTATATACTTGTAGCTGTTTGTGTTTGTTCATACATTCTCAATTTATGCTTCATCTCTTGCAGATCTCGGACGATGATCGAATGAGCCTAACTACTGCCGTTTCGGATGAAGATGATGGCGAAAGTGTCATGGCGTCACCATATAAAGCAAAGGCCACTGGCACCGCTGCATCCTCCTTCAACTGCACGGGCGCTGTGCGTAAAGCCGGGTAAGTTGCTCGCATCCAGCGGCCGTTAATCACCGGCACGAAACTATGCCCAAGGGCATAGCAGCAGCAGCAGGAGCAGCCACGTGTGGTGGGCTCCCCACACAACAGCTAATCATAAATATAGTAGAAAATAGCTCAGCATATCATTTACAGCTATTACAGCCAAACGCATTCCACCATGATAAAGCGTATGTGTGTGTGCCCGCCGAGACTCCAGAAGGGGAGAGCGAGAGTGAAAAGAAAGTTGTAAAACGAGACTGCAACAAGCAGGCACGTTTACAGTTACTTATTAGCTAATGAGCCCCACTATGCGCATTGGAAAACACGAATCCTTCTTTATCCTTACATGGAAAGAGTACTTGAAGCAGATTTCCATATAGCTAAATGAGAAAAGTTTCCTTTTAAGTACTTGTGCATCAATTTTATACGGATTCATTTCCATTTTCGGAACTCTCAGCTGATTTTGGCCTGCAGCACGTTTTATAGCACTCGGCTGACTCGAGAGCTTATAAAGTCAGCTCAGATGCCAGCCAGATGCCATCCGAGTTTAATTTAGTTCAATTCTCTGAAGTAATACTGTAAATGCATATACATACATACATATATTTACCTGATGCTCGCCCGCTCTGGCTGCTTGTTGCTGCTGTTGCTTATTTAACATCGATTTGATTACATTTGTTTTTCATCTTCTGCCGTTCCGTTCCGCCCGCAGCTTTCTATCGGTGAAGAAATGGCTGCTACGTAAGAAGCATCAAATCGAGCTGGCTCGCAAGCGCGGCTGGAAGGGCTACTGGGTGTGCCTGAAGGGCACCACGCTCCTCTTCTATCCGTGCGACTCGCGCGAGGGCCGCAGCGTCGAGGCGGCGCCCAAGCATTTAATTATTGTGGACGGCGCGATTATGCAGCCAATACCGGAGCATCCGAAGCGCGATTATATATTCTGTCTGAGCACCGCATTCGGCGATGCCTATCTGTTCCAGGCGCCCTGTCAGGTAAGTGCCGTTCGGCAGGATATGATGCGTGTCGCGCCTAATGAGAGTCCGGCCACGCCGCAAGTCCTTCAACCGTAAGACTTTCATGCTGCAATTAGAAAAGGCATCAGGCCAGGCCAACCATAAAAGCTGGCCTTGTCCAGCCATCTGACACGACTTGGACTTGGACGACAACTGAGGCGTCTTGTTTGCCTTACGATACCAAGGATATTTGTATCTATCAGCCACTGTGTATGCCTGTATGCGTGCGTGTGTGTGTGTGTGTGTGTGTCGAGTTCACTGCTCGCGGGCTTTCAACAGACCCCATTCGCAATCGCACACCCACACAGCGACAGTTGCACAGAGCGCCTGCCTCAAAGGCGTTAACTGATATGCAGACCCCGCAACGGGCTGAAATGCAAATCGCTTGGCTTAAAGTGCGATTGGGGCTGTGTATGCGACAGCTAGCCAACTGCCGAGGCAGATTGCCTTGAACTAATAGTTGCTGCCTGACATGGTCCTTGTGCCTAAACTGTGACATGTCTCTGAGGCATTAGCGCCGCTCTCACCTGGCCGCCCCCCCCTTAAAAGCCAACTGACTGGCTGACGGTAGTTCAGCGTTTTGCCTGGTCGCCTCAGTGATTTGTCATTAAATTTGCATAACTGATAGTCAGCCAGCAATGGCAACGACAACGACAACAACCACAACAACAACCACAACAACAACCACAACAACATCGTCGACATTTGGCGCAAGGGAGCAACATCAAATTTGTGCCTTGCCTTGTTGCATTTGGCCTCTGCAATTTGTTGTCTAGCTCACACTTATATATATCTCTTTCTCTTTCTTGCTTTCTCTGCACAGGTGGAGCTGGAGAATTGGGTAAATAGCATACACAGCGCCTGTGCCGCTGCATTTGCGCGTCATCGCGGCAAAACGGGAACACTGCATCTGCTGCAGGAGGAGATCTTTCGCCTGGAGAAGGCCATTGAATCGGTAAGTGAATGCCAACGTTTTACTTAACATACCAAGCCAAGTCACGGGTATATTTATGAATGCATATATATATTCTACATACATGTGTGTGTGTGTGTTGAGTTGAATTATTGCCTTGCATTTTCGATTCGACTCGTAGGAAATAGTTGAGCTCCTTCAGTGGAAATTCAAGTGATGAGAATTGAAATTGTGTATTGAGCATAAAAGCTGTTTGTCGAGTACACCCAGAGCTACCGAGAGCAGCGCCATTATTATGAAAATGATATGCAAAAAAATATATATATATATAAATGTACATACCTACAAACATATATGAAAAGTAAAATAGCAGCAAAGTAAAAGGAAAAACGAAAAAGCATAACTGAAGACATGTAAATTCCATGATTTATGAACCCAACTCGTTTGCATATTATATGGAAGAATACAAAATACATTGTGAGTGTGAGTGAGTGTGCGTGAGTGTGTGTGTGTGCTAATAGAGCTAAAGGCTAGACTCAGACTGGCAAAAATGAAGAGGGCTAGCTTTAATATTGATTTAGTGCAGATAGCAGAGAGAGAGAGAAAGAGTGAAATGAATTTGTTTCACTATCTTGTAATCTCATTTGAAGGCTGATCAAATTTCTAGCACCTGGCCTGTGCGCCATGCCGTGTGAATCCCCAACAATCTAAATAGACAACAAAATAAATCCAAGTAAAACCATTAAATCAATCAATAAAATTATCTTCAAGCCACTCGTGTACATTCAATTTGAGCTGCGGCAAAGTTTCGTGGCATCGTACCGTGCTGTCTGCCATCTCATTGATATGCAGCGCATGCCTCTGTATATTTCGGCACCTAATCAGTCGTTAAAGTAATCAACAACAAAGCCAAATTGTACGAATACATCAATTCGCGATGATTTCTCAACTCGACTTGGCGCAACTTTTTTGCTTTTCCTTTAGCCAAAGACACAACAAACGCATTTCCTATACACACACACAGAGAGAGAGAGAGAGAGAGAGAGAGGGAGACTGAGTGGGAGATTTCCCAGCCCAATTTCTCAATTTGTGCCGCCATCTAGCAGAGCATCTAGCCAATTTCTCAGCGTGTTGCTCCCCAAAGATTTATGCGCTGCCCTGTTTCTGTTTTCTTCTTGGTGGCTCTGCTCCATTTATGTATTTGCTTTCAAATCAATTCCCCATCAATTTCGCGTCGCGGCTTCGTAGCAACAACATCTCCTGCTTGCCAGCCTCGACTGCATTGCAATTTATTTGCACAACTTTATGGCCAACAGCATTGTGGCCAAAATAAAAGCAAAAACCACAGCAAAATAAACCAAAGCAAAGCAAATAGAGCTGCTGGCGCTCAGTACAAGGAACTGCACTTCTGCCACACACAATAAATGGCTGGATAAACTCAGCCAAAGTGCCGGCAAGAAATGCTGAGAGAAATGCTGCGAGCCAGTTGAACAGTTGAACAGTTGAGCTGTTGAGCCGCTGCCTTGGGGCTGCCTGGCTCTACGGTGTCATCCTGTATATCCACAATTTCCCTTCGCTATTCCGCGCATTCGTTTATTTATTTTTGCATTATGTCATTTGCAGGCCATGGCGAATGAAATAAATAAATAAATAGAGACGGAAATTTTGCGGCCGATTGTTTGCCTTGGCCGGGCGCAGCTTGTATACCCTGCAATTGAGTTGTGGAACAGGGGAGGGCTGCTATGCCTAGGGACGGCTCTATAAACTATACTCATATCTCGCTTTTATAATTGCACTCGGCGGCTCACCCACATTGAGCAGTGGTTGCTGCTGTTGTTGTTGTTGTTGTTGGGCAAAGAATATCATTTTTATCCAACTCCTGCCCGGGCCTGTCCAGTCTCTGCTTCATGCCACGCCAACTTCATTCATTCGTCTCTGTCGCATTTCCCTCGCGACTTGCCCCTTTTCTAATTTAGTTTTTCTCATTTACACGTAAAGTTGAAGTTTGATGTTATGAATCGTCGTCGTCTTCTCGTTTTCCTTTCACATTTTCTTGCTATCATTACTCCTGCTGCTCCTGCTACTGCTGCTGCTGCTGCTGCTGCTCTGTCTATCTGTCTCTTTGGATAAACCATAATTACTTCCTTGAACGCTGCGTTTTTCTGTCCACTTTCCCACTCACAAGTTTTCAACTTGTTGTTGATTTTCTCTTGCTTCTTCCTCTTTTTTTCTATAATTTTGTTTTTTATAATCAGTTTTTTTGCTTGTTTTGTTTTGGGCTTTGTTTTATTTGGCTTACTGCGCGCGGCCACAGTCCGAGACTGTCACAAGAGTCACTTCGCAGTCAGCTCGTTTATTTTTCAAGTGCCACGCCCACTGTGGCCAGTGCTTAGGTGCTGCCAAAGTTTGCCGGATGAATATTAATTAAATGAGCTGCCGGAGTGGCCGCAAAACTGCATTTGCATTTGCATTTGCATTTGGCATTCGCATTCGCATTACAATTTTTGGTTTTTGCATTCGCATTTGTTGTTAATTAATTTTGTGTGCAAAGAAAAGAAATGAGAATTATTAAAGTGCCATCGGATAAACAAAGCCAGCAACTCATAAAGCAGCAGCTCAGCTGAAGGAGTCGGGCGCAGCAGAGGCTCTGAATGAAATTAAAAATAGAGAACGAAAAAAAAGAAGAAGAAGAAAAGGTGCCGCGCTCTGCCCTATCTCAATTTTATGGTCGTGAAGGCGTCACTGAAAAGAGCAACAGTGTTGTCTACGCTCTTTGTCTTGCCATTTACTTTGTGCTCGTGTATGTGTGTGTGTGTGCGTGTGTGTGTGTGGTGGGCGGAGTCCAACTAGGCAGAGCTGTTTGTCTGCCCTTTTTTATAGCTGTCACCTTTCGGAAATAATCATATATGTGTCAGTGGGGGGACAGCACTTCGCTTCGTTTGCTTTAGCTTTTCTAGTTTTTCGCCAGCTATCTATTTTTCTTTTCGCATAAAGCACTTGCACACACTCACACACACACGCACACAATGCAGGTGCTGAGAGAAAAAAAACGGAGATAGCAATAGTAGTAGTAGCTGCCCGAGCACATTTAGTTTTTCGTACGCTCTGGTTTTTACGCTCTAATTACGACTCCTACGAGCAGGCTCGCCTCCCTTGCCCCCGCACGTTGCCTGTCCTGCATGGCACACACACCCACACACGCACACCTTTCGCCCCGCCTGTTACTGTTTTTATTCCTCGCTCGTGGCTCGTGTGCAATTGCCATGGCGCGCAGTCTAAACAAGGCTCACTTGCCTGCTGCTTTCAATTTGCAATGGCGGCTGTCATTTCAGCTCAATAGCAGCCAACATACCCCACACCTCCTCACGCCCACCTGAGACCTGAAAAATCGTTGCCAGGCTTAAATCATTTTTTCCTTCTCTTAGTATAAATTTAATACGGCATTTTAATTGCTGCAAAACAATTGCAGCATTGCGCAGCTCAAAGGCAAAGTAAACTTCATATTTTGTTGTTGGGCACAAAACTTTTTAATAGATTATCAGGTTTCCAGTCGATTCACAGCTGCAGGCCCCGGTGCATGCGTCTGGCTGGATTTTTGCTCCGTTTTCAGCAATAATCAGCAGCGAATTTTCATACATTTTGCATGGCTTCTGGCGGCTAATTTGCTGCAAAACGGCAAATGTGACGCAGCCGAGAGCCGTTAAGCCATTAATTAATTTAACAACAATTAAGCTTAAATTAAAGCTCATGAAATCCTTAAATTTACAATGCTGCAGCACACACACACACGTTGCCAGACCAAAACCAGCAAGCGGAAACCAACTACTAGAAAAACGAACACGGGGAAAAAAACACAGAACCGAAACGAAACTAAAAATAAACATTTTACAACACTGGCGTACAATGAAATAAATATTTAGTCAAGTTTAAAACATTTGGTAATTAGTACGTTGACTCGCTTGGCCAGAGCCGCCCCCTCGACTCACGCCTCCCGCCTCCACGCCCCAAAGCCGCATGCATCTGGCCAACTTTCTGCTCCCTTGCGAAAGTTTTACACATTTTCTTTTATTTCTATTTTTTACGCTCCCAACTTTTCGTATTGTGCAAGATTTTTGCTAAATAAAGTTTATAATTACCATAAAATTCAGTTGAGTTCGATTTTCGGCGGTTGCCTGGCAGAGCTGCCTTTGAACCATAATAGACACACAGAGCCTGGGCGTGGCTGGGGCAATTCATAAGCTAATACCAAGCGGTATATATGTATATGTGTGGCTGGAATTTATGGCAAGAAATATGGTCAAAGCCGAGTCGGAGCGTCATAAAGCACGCACACATGTTGCCAGCCTTGGCAGTTGTCCACGTTCCGGCTGCCTAATGCAGCCCCCCCTGGGCTGCTGCCCATTGGCTTTGTTTTGGAGCAAACGTGCGAATATTTTTGCAACTTTCGGTCGCAAGCTGCACAGGATATGGCACGGGCATATGGCAGTTCGGCTAGCTGAAGCAGGAGCTGGAGCAGGAGCAGCAGCAGCAGGAGCTGAGGCCTGACACTAGGTGTTGCCCATTTGGGCACTCAACACTAGCTCAGCTCTCTCTATCCCTCTCGCTCGCTCTCTCTGGCTGCAAATGCGCTTTTGGTTTTTGATTTGTTTTTGGTTTTGCGTATTTAGGTTTTGCATGCTGAAATATGCTTTATGCGTCTGGCATGTGGGCGTGGCATTGCCGCAACTGCTGCCAAATTCAATTCAATTGTCAACAGCCATGGCAGCACTAGCCGGAAAAAAGCTAAATGGACATCGGACACACACACGAACACACCCACACGCACATTTGACTGTGGCCACAAGCACAAACAGGCGCCAGTTTTTGGTTTTAGGCTTAGCTTGTTTCACGCACAACCTGCGCCTCCCTACCCCTCCCCTCCTCCAGCCACCCACTCGCACACTTTAAAGCCCTCCTTATCGTTGTATAATGTGGCATCATTTTGTGGTCAGCATTTATGCAGGACATGTGCATACACACACGCACACACACACACACACAATACACAAAACGTGCACGAAGCGTACAATTTGCAGGCCTTTTGTTGACATTTGGCACCCTAGCACCACCAGCAGCAGCAGCAGCACCACCCACATTTTGCGGTTGGCCGTGCTCACATTTGACTTTTTGTGAGTGGCGCCCATCGAGGAGGAGCTGGCATTTAATGCAGCAGCGCAACAAAGTCAAAAGTCCTGCCCTGAGGTCAGCTCAGCTGCAGTTCATTTAAAATGTTCACATTGCGCATACGCCGCGTTGTACGTGCAATGGCCGGGTGGCTGAGCTGCCCCACTGTAACTTAAACTCTCCTTCTTTTCTCTCAGTCTTTATCTTTTATCGCAGCCAGCGCTGTCCCTCTGTCCTGCTGTCCTGTTGTCCGCTGTCCGTTACACATACAGCTCAATAGCAGGAGCTTATAGTTGGCATGGGGCTGCTGTGTTAATTGATCGTTATTGTCTTTTCGGCGAGGGCAAGAGCGAGGGAGAGAGAGAGAGAGAGGTAGGGGATGAAAGGAATTGGAGCGAACAGTTGACTTATCGAAGGACGGGGCCATTAGCAGCAACAAAACTGATACCAGTCACGAGTCCTTTCGCCAGGCAGCGCTTTTTGTTGGGGCGTTATTATTATTTCACTCATTGTTGCCATCGCTTGTTGCTGTCTCTGCTGTTGCTGTTGCTGCTGTTGCTGTTGCTGTTGCTGCTGTTGTGTGTGGTTATTATTAATGTTGTTGTTGTAGTTGTTGTTATTTGCGGTTTGCGGTTGCTGTGGTTTTGCTATTTGCGGCATCTTTGGCTTGTCATGCGACGCTGATGCTGATGCTGATGCTGACGACGATGACGATGACGCTGACAACAATAGCAAAATGTATTTTTTAATTGTACTCTCGGGTAAACATATATCACAGCAGCAGCAGCAGCAGTAGTAGCAACAGCAACGGCAACAGCAACAACAACAACAGCAACAAAACGCACCATGAACTCAACTCAACTCAACTGAACTGAACTCAACTCAACTCGGGCCAGCTCAGGCCAGGCCAGCCAAACTGAGGAAGCGGAAATGACAGTACGACAATGGCGACAACAAGAACGGCAATGGCAATGCCACAGACAGGACCTAGAATCCTGAACAACTTCAACGACAGTTTGCCTACTTGAGAGGAGACCGTTCACTGTGCAGCTCTCACAAATGTGCGCATGGGGAGCCATACACGAGTGACGCTTAATGAAAGCGCAACAGACAACCACAAAACCCCCTGCACACCCACACACACGCACGCACTCATGCACAGCAGAAGCAACAGCACTGGACCATAGCTGAACGCAAAGAGCATTGAGACAAAAACCGCACAGAAACAAGCTACAACATAGCAATAATAAAATTGCCGTTAAGTGGGGAATTGAGATGACAGTCGAAATTGCGGGCCACATTGAGATATTGTGGATGCGAACGGAGCTGAGTGTGGCTGACAAAGGAAACTCAACTGCACCAGCCTCCTGCATAGCAGATGCCAACCGCTTCCAATTTCTGAGACAAGTTGTCCTCGCAAACGTTTGCAGCCCATAAACGAGAGTTTTGCTCTCCTCCAAGGCAGACCACAGAGGAGATAACAAAACGTAAAGAGAATAGAGAATATAGAATAGAGTGAGCGCGGTACCCCAGTGAATACATGTTGTCGAAGTGATTTTTATAATTGAAACCTTCATTTGCAAATGATTTTATATATTGACAGCAGACAGCAGAAACTGCATGAGAAGTGGGCGGAAATTGAGATTCAGATCAAAAGTCTACATCCTCATGTGGGATATTCACAAATGTCGAATTCGGGCACGCCTATCATACCCTGTGCACAGCGTAAATGTAACCAATATGATCGATAGCAATCATATCACGTTGATTTACATAGCAATTCCATGCAATTACAAGGCAATTAACATTCCCATTTAACCATGAATTGCGCAACGTGACGGCAACAACAGCAAACAATGAATTTCACGATTAATGTGCATACACGCACGCACGCACACGCACACAGAGACAGCACGTACATGTTGCCATATTATTTAAGAAGGCGTACGCTACGTGCGTATGTATGTGTGTGTGCACATCTCCAACTGTTGACAATTTCGAGCTGTTGTCCTTCTGTTGTGCGCATCGTAAATAATTACAAAACGCACTTGCCAAATGTTTTGACTATCCAATTTGGCCAGTCCCTTGGCCCGGGTCTGCTCGGCTCTGCTCTGCCCTGATTAACCCATTTCTTGCCCGGGCCGGGCCAAGGGTCGAGTGCCCTCTCAGCTGGCTTGGCTTGCTGCAAGTATTATTTTGTTGAAACTGTAAGCACATTAAGTGCAGTCATTAAAATGTAATACCATTTATTGTTGCTGCTGCTGCTCGTTAAACTGGCAACGGCAACGGCAACGGCAACGGCAATGGCAATGCCAATGGTAATGGCAATGGCCATGCGAATAGCAATCCTGTGGCTCAATTCACTTGATTTAGGTTTTTATGTTGTTCTCGCTGCGAAACAAGCAGCTTCAACTCATAAAAGTTGTTTATAGAACATGAAAGAGCCACTGCGGCGTGAGAGCTACTGTTGCTCGACTTATCATTGGGTACATTAAGACCAAGTCGAGTATTTGCCAAGGGCTGCCAAAGGGTTTTGCTCGAGTAGTGTTTGACTTGCAACAGAAATCAATTGAGAAATCAAATCAACTTTAGAAAAGGGAAGAAATTAATCTCAAAAAGGTGGAAAGTTGCCCAATTTTAGCTTGTGAATAGTCAAAGAAAATACTTAGAAATATTAAAAATAATCGAAATTTGAATAATTTGTTTGAATTTTATTAAATAGTATTATTAAGCATTTTACTTTTATTTATAATAAAATTATTATATATAATTATTATTATTTTTAATTAGTATATTTAAAACTTTTACTTTTATATATAATAAAATTGTTAGATGTGGCTATTAAAATGAGCCCAAAATATATATATATTTTTTTAATGATAAAAATCATATATAAGCCATATAGCAAATGAGAATCTTTTCTATATTTTAGCTGAAAAATTTTGACTTAAAAAAAATATATACATATATATTTTATTTTATTTCTCTGTACTTTATTAATCAATCAAAAAATAAAAGCGTATATGTATTTTATTTAATTTATTTTTATTATTTAAATTTATCAATACAAATCGGAGTTAACATTAGCTTTCGCACTTTACAAAATATTAGACTCTAATCCAATATAGTTATTGGGACTGACTAAAAGCCTATTAGTCTCAGCTGCTGTGACAACAGAGAGCATTATGACATAAGATGTTAATAGCCTAGCAATCGCAGCTAATTCAGCTCAACTGCAAAGGCCTCCATTCAATATTTTCAAATCCAAATTTATGCAAATCTTTAAATAATGCCAACAATCGATATATATATGCTGCATAGATATATATAAACTCTTTATGGTTATGCGATGGTTAATTGAAATTTCCCTTTCGCTGCTGGTTATGCAATAAAATATATTTCACATTCCCAGCTAAAACCTCAAATTATGGTTTCCATTGTGGTATTTGTGGATAACAATAATAATAATAACAATACTAACAACAACCACGCAGGAAGACATATAAATACGTATACATGTGTGTGTGTGTGTGCAGCACGTCCATCAAATATTACCCAATACATATTGACTGTGTTATGTGGGTCGGTGGCATTACGTATACGCCGCTTTGGCCGTGCTGAGTTTGTTAAATCAAATACACCAAATATGATTTATTTCACGTAAAATAAACAATGCCGAGCTCAACATTCTCGGACTGGCAAGTAGCGTGTCCTCGCATACAGCTCACACACACACACACACACACACACATATACCGAGGAGGAGAATCGGCCACACAATGCGCTAACGCAGACACCTGTGTAAGCCGGCGAACAAATACATTTACATATGTGCATGTCTGTGTGTGTGTGTGTGACTGTGAGCTCTGCTGCTGTTTATGTGTACACATTCATTAAAATGTCGAACATCGAAAGTGCCCATTCAGGTTGTTGTTGCCACGGCGACGCCCACCGTATCCGCCACTGCAACGGCAACAGCAATGGCAACGGCAACGGCAACTGCATCTGCAAATAATTGTCAGCTTACACGAGCTGAATGCAACAGCAGTGGCAGCAGTGCCACCACAACCCAGCAACAACAATAGCAGCGACAGCAGAGTGAAAGAAAAAAAAACAAAACAAAAAGAAAAAAAATAGGAATCTAGCAACCAAAATGAAACAATCACGTGCTCCATGAAATCTATGGAAGCGTGTATAAATGCACGTGAAAGTGGGATTGCAATGCTAACGAACGGTTGGTCGGATTGGGTATACAGCAGTGCAGTCAGCTAGCTTCTCCTGCTCCTGCTGCTGCTCCTGCTGCTGCTGATGGGACGCGCTGCGGCGGAAGTCAAACGTTATTTGTAATGAAAACAGGGGCATGTGTTGCACATGTGTGTGTGTGTGTGCGTGTGTGTGGCTAACGATGCCAAAGTATCTCTCACAATGTGTGTGTGTGTGTGTGTGTGTCAGAGTTGGTGCATTGCCAACGCACTTCAGCTGCCAAAGGGAGCGACAGGAGAGAACGAGCGCATAGATATTTGAATTGCGCCAACGAAAAATGCTGCTGCACATGACGCGTGATTTATGTATTTTCGTCAAATGGCAGCCACAGCAGCCGCAGCCGCAGCAGCAGCAGCAGAGGCAGCAGCAACAGCAACTACAACGAGCAATAGCTGCCATGAAATGCTAATGATGCCATGCCAGAGATGCTTTCATAACCATCACGAGTGCGACACTGCCGCATCCTTGCCCCACAATCCGCACACACACACACACACAAGCACTAACTATGTATATGTATTTGCATTTGTAGCACTCATGTCTAATGTCTGTCTTTTTTTCATCTCTCTCTCTCTGTCCTTCTCGCTCTTGCAGGATCACAAGCTGAAGCACATGGCTGAGCTGCAGCAATCAGTTGTCACCGATCAGGAGACACGCCATCAAATACAGGCACAGATTTTGCAATGGGAGGAAAACCTTGAACGTCTGCACTGCGAACAGTTCCGACTACGCTGCTATATGGCCTCGCTCCAGAGCGGTGAGCTGCCCAATCCAAAGGTGAGTTATGCGTATCATTATACAGTGACTCCCCCAGCGCCCCCGTGGCCCATTTCTACTGCTTCATAGCTGCCTAATGGCAAAATGGCAATTGCCGCAATTTGTTTCACCTAACGGAAGCCACAGAAAGTTCACATAACGTGCCTGAGATTGCGTCAATTTGAATTACTTAGCCCTGATGCTGTGGCTGTTGCTGATGCTGATGCTGATGGTGATGGCTCTGCAGCTGCTTTGCGCTGTGGTGATAAACTGCGTGCCTGAAAATGCTATTCAATGCAAAGTAGTTGTCAAGTGCACAGGATAACAGAATGCTCCAGAGACCAGTTACAGGTGGCAGACACTTCAGAAGGAAGTGTTTCCATCTAATATGTAAGACTCTGAGTCAAGCTGCAGTGGGACAAATGTTGACTTTAAAAGGGAAACCAAGTTGTAGTTTAAGTAATTTAAATGCGAGTCTAATAGGATTTTCCGACTTTCCTTGTTCGACACTCGATTCAGCTCAAGCGACTGGTAAGCGAAAATAAATATGTATCCGAACTAATCAACAACAAGATTTGTCATAATCTGCTTAAAGTTCACACAATACAAGATAATTTGGTTAAAAATCACCCAGACTCTGCTGTGGTGTGAGTGGAACAGCAAAGAGTAGCCATAACAGAGATTAAAAGCCAACTCCAGCTCCGGCCACAGCAGCTGAAATTAAAGCTCTAGCTGACTCTTAAGCCTGGCTGCCCGCCTGTTGTCTATAATTGCTTTTACCTACTTATTTATAGAGCGGGTAGCAGCACTTCGATTGCTCGACGCGAGACTCGGGCGGCACTAGCAGTGGAGAGCCCGAAAACATGTATTGTTAATCTCCCATAACACAATTTAAGCGCCTTAAATGAGCTGCAGCTTAAAGGGTCAAAGAAGCGAACAACGAGGCGGAAGGCAGAAGGCAGGAGGCACGCGGCATGAGGCTGTGGCGCAGCTCCTCGAACTTTGCACGGCATTAAAAAGATTTGCGGGGCCCCAACCTTGATGGGTGACGAAAAGGGTTGCAAGTTAATTGCACTTTTTATGACTTGTAGAGAGCAGCAGCTGCAGCAGCAGCAGCAGCAGGAGGGGGGAGTGGGTAGCGTGGGTAACTGGTCTTGTTCTGGGGGCTGGGGTTGTTGCTGCTTGCCAAAGAGGAATGGCAGCAAATGCGGTGCTTTCAACTGAACAACTCGCATAAAGAGCAACCACATTTATTATTAATAACCGCAAAACCCAAACAACTTCAGCAGCAGCAACAGCAGCACTTACACGAGAAAGTGCATGCACTGCCGGCTATTTGCACAGCACACTTACAGGGCAAGCACACACACACACACACACACATACACAGAGATGTATATACACTCGCAGTTAATGTGCTTTGTATAGCTGTATATGTATGTATGTATTATGAAATTAATTATGTCACATTAGTCAGCTTGACCAAAATGATTCAGCCATTGCCTGGCCTGGACTCTGGCCAAGATTCACTTTCCATTGCCAATTCTTTAAATCAATCAAGATGCACATCAGAGGATTATCTATATATATATTTACCTTCTACTTTACTTCTATTGCAGTCACTGCTCACCCACGTCTCGCGCCCCACAAAGAATACCCTGAATAAGCTGGGCGTTTTTACGGTCTCTTCGTTCCACGCCTTCATCTGTGCCAGGTCGCCGTCGTTGCTCAATAATTTGCTGGCCGGACGTGGTGCCACCAAGCGACGGCCGCCGATGCTGTCTCGCTCGAACAGCGGCTCCAGTCGCCGCTCCATGCAGGTAAGCTACAATATATATGTGTGTATGTGTGTATGTATGTATGTGATGAGCCTACGGCTCGTATGCGTAATAAAATTATATCAATTTTGGGTAACGATTTTATGAGAGGCCTGCGTTTGTCTGATGCGTGTTTGCATTTTTATTGCGTACATAAGCTACGTCTGTGTATGTGTGTGCGTGTGGGTGTGTTAAATAATTGAATTTCTATTTAAGCGACAGCGGAAACGGCATTAAAAGCCAAATTGAGCGCAAATGCGAGAACGAACGACCAAATGTGTCACCCTCTAATGTATTTTCACGCTGACCACTGTCGCGTTTTTAATTTCAATTTTTGTTTTTTTATTTTTCAGCATATTGTTGTCCGTTTCTTTGTATAATTTAAATTTAATGGCCATCAGGAATTACAAAAACAAATTTATGAAGAGCCGGCAGTCCCAAAAGATTCTTTAGATAGCCATTAGGCAAATGGCACAGCACACACACACACACACAGAGGGAGAGAGAGTGACAGAGGGAGATAAAAAAAAAACTAATCCAAAGTTCTGAAAATATTTGCATAAAGTACGCAGCTTGGTATATTTATTTTTTTTCTGGCCGTTTGGCAGAGCTAAATTAATCTTGATAGAGCAAACACAAATCACGAAATATTTGAAACTGTTTTGCAAATTTACATTGCACAAATGTATTTGAGCTCCTCAAATGGGCAAATAGTACTCTCTATGGCTGTCTCTGTCACTGTCTGTGCCTGTCTCTCTTTCTCTCTCTCTCTCTCTCTATTGATTTTCGGCTTGCTAGTTTTAGCCACAAAACTGCACTAAAAATAATTAAAATATTAGGCATTGTAATGCAAGCAAGCCATATTACGTATACGCAGCGTATATCTATTAATCTGGTTAACTCAATTTACCAAAGCTGTTGTCGAAAGTCAGGCTTAAAAGTTCTATGTGTGTGTGTGTGGAAGTACACTGCACAAAAAAACAGTTGCATTTTATGCTGCAACAACAACATTTTGAAGATGAATTCATATAAAAGTCGAATTCGCCTCGATGCTGATTTGGTTTAGTTGGCCAGATTCGTGTGGCAGCACACATTGCATTTAGTGTTTCAGCTGCGTTTTCGATTCGATTAGGCGTGGCTGTTGTTTTATTAAATGGCCTCGTTATGTATTTTGATGCTGCTTATTTGATAAACTTCAGTTAGAGCTGGCAATTTTTATTTTCACTTTTCTTTTTTCTTTCGGCTAGGATATATAGTCGTACTTTTAATGAAATTCATTTCATAAATTCAATTTGTTTCGATTATTGGCAAAATAATCTTGTGCAGCAGCACACACATACACACACACAGGCACAGGCACAGGCGAGTGCACAGTCAGTGCACAGGGGCGTGCACACTTCATTTCCAATTAAATTTGCCAACGCTGCAACAATTGCAGTCGACGTCGCAGTCAGCAGTGAAGCCAGAAATATTCATGCCAAAAGCATAAAACATAAAACATAAATATAAATAAATATATATATATACAATATATGTATGTATGTGTGTATATATGTTCGTATATAGAGCGTTACTAACGTTAAATCAGACTCTTGTATTTGGCGGCGCTGAAAATTCAATGAATTTGAAAAATGTGCATTTGATTTGGTTGATATTTTTGCGCAGTCAACTCGATTGAATGCATGTGTGTGTGTGTGTGTGTGTGTCGGTTGAGTGTGGCTTTTCATTTTGCCAGCATGTCATCTGCAATGCCACTGAAATTGCAATTGAAAATGAAATGAAATCAAATTAAAGGTGTCCACCAGTGCTCGTGGCTGCTCTACAACTGGCAATTATCGAGCTGCGAGATGCGAGCTGGGAGCCGTGAGCTGCTGCCAGCTGGAAGCTCTCTGAACTGCGTAGCGCCAGCTCTTTAGGGGCCTTTAAATAATTTTTGTCACGACGCATTTAATTGGCCAATGCAGGATCAACAGAGAGAGAGAGAGAGAGAGGGAGAGAGAGAGAGAGAGAGAGAGAGGTAGAACGTGAGACAGACAGAGCAACAGAGAAAATTGAATTACGCAACGAAGCGACAACTGAAAATTGACTTGCCCCAAACCGGCTCAGCCAGAGAGGAAGCCAGGCCAGTCGTCGGCTCGATGCTGTCGCATTACGCAGCCAAAGTTCATTAATCGACAGCCCAAAGGCAAAACACAGTTGAAAATGCAAATGCAAAATTCAAAAAGTTGCCTCAGCCAACGACTTGCAGAATGCGAATGAAAATGCGTGTCAGGCTGACAAATGCGAATACATTGTAGCCAGATTAGCTGCAGTTGTCGAGTGTGCAGCTCGTTAAATAATAATATTTCATATTTTATTTATTATAAACATTCATATTAAATGCTGATTAAAATTCGATTAAAATTTAAATATTCACAATTTACTGGCGAATAATTGTAATTGGCATTTCGTGTGACATTTGCAATAAAAACTGAATTTATTGTATACATTATAGAGGTGAATATCATCAGAGATCATGCGAGTGATAGACAAGCCTTGAAGGCTCTTCTTGTTAGCATTTAAAATGCTTCAGCTGATAATGAAACCCATAAAAATTCTGTCACTCTCAACTGTGTAGAGTAAGGCAAGCCTAGGTATATATGTTATAGAACTTTAATCTATATAAAACATATTAAATATATTTTTAATGGCCATGCAAAACATTCACTATAGACAAAAGCTAGGGAAGCAGATCAACTTGTGCTAGGTTTAAACGTTGCATAAATCACAAATATTTAAAGGCAAGGCGCCTTTTGAGACTTTGCTATAGTTCAATTAGTATATACAGATCTTTCGGCTGTAAAATGTAGCCAAGGCTTGCCAGGTTGCTTTTAGGTGGGAGTCTGATCTGTCGAGCTCTTGACTGCTGCCTGCTTTTTATCCCTATTGAAAGTCACAATCGTACATTTGTTAGCATTGCTAGTCATCCCATCAGAATCGATTCCTTCCATAGAACCTAAACACAGGCCATGTAAATATATTCCTTTTCGTTTCTAAATATCAGCTGCATGATTTTGTTTTGGAGCTGACAATTCAAATCTGTCTGCCTGATTGCAGCTCAGCGAGGATGTGTGCAATTAAATAGCCGACAAATTTCTCAAGCGAACACAAGGCTATAAAAGTCCGGCAAATGGTTGCTGCATGTCGATTGCCATTTGAAACTTGTATTTCAATGTACTACCTCTCTGTCTCCCTCTCTATGTCTCTCTCTCTCTCTGTCAGTCTCTGTTGAGCATTTTAAACTTGATTATTATTTATAATTTGCAATTTCTGCAGCTGTTGCCTCGAATGGCACAGCACGTTCTGGCCAACAGCAACAACAATGCAAAGGACAATGCAAAGTAGCACAAACGCCTTCATTTCCTCTATGAATATAAAGTTGACACCCAAAAAAAGAAGAAAATGATGAGAGGCAAGAAATGAAATGCATTGCAATGCCTCACATATGCATTATTGATTTCACTGCATGCGTGTGTGTGTGTGTGTGTGTGTGCGTGCAGCATAATGACTTTGCAAACGATATATGCCACAACAAACACACATATAAATACTTACATGCATATAGACACATAAATGCATATATTTGTGTGTGAAAAAAAAAAGATGCGAACGTTGCCCAATTGTTATGCAATGCAAAGATTCCTTCCCGGTTGCTGCTGCTGCTGCTGCACATGTGGCAAGTCTGACGGATGTGCATGCAAATGTGGCATAGCTGCTGTCGCTGCCAACTTGTCTCAATCTCTCTCACTCTCACTCTCTTCCATTCGCTCTCTCTCTTTCTTTCTCTCTGTGTGTGAGTTTTGTAACTGCCAAACTAATTCAATTGTCGTGCAAGTAGTAAACTACACACACACACACACACACACACACACTTTTGAGTCTATGTGTGTGTATGTGGACGCATTACACCTGTGCTTGGAGCATGCTTGGTGTTACTCCTGCTCCTGCTGCTGCTGCTGCTGCTGCTGCTGCTCCTGCTCCTGCTCCTGCTGCAGCAGCAGCTAAAAGTTAGTCAGCCAGCAAAACCATCGTCGATGGCTGCCAATACAAATGCAATTTTCAGCTGGCAGCTGGGCGCCTGATTCGTTTACCAGTTGGCCAAACTGTTGGCTGCAAACACGGCTTCCACGACACCAGCTGCCGCTGCCGCTGCCACTGCCGCTGCCACTGCAGCTATAGCTTTGTTAACCAAACCCTGCTCGCACAGAGGACGATGATGCCGTTAAGCATTTTAACTGAGTTTTCTTCAAACTGCTGTCTGTCAGAGTCCGTTGACTGTCGACTGCCTGCTGGGTGGCTGGCTGACGGGATGGGCAGGATGGCTGGGTGGCTGCTGCTGACGTTTTTCATTACACATTTGCTCTCGGATAGAAATGTGTTTTTGCTATTTTTCAATTTTCACTTCCGTGTGTGCTACAGCAGCAGCAGCAACCTTAATGACATTGTATGAGTGTATGTGGTGTGTGTATGAGTGTGTGTGTGTGTGTGTGGTATATGCTCACCTGTTTATCCAATCGAATTTTCTGCCTTTTTCCAGATGAATTCACGTGACGAGCCGGAAAAAACCTTCAAAGTTGCAATGCCCGACAATGCTTACTCGACAGTTTATCTACGTGACGCGATGTCTGTGGAGGAATTCCTTGCCAGCGCCTGCGCCCGTCGCAACCTCAATCCGATGGAGCACTTTGTGCGCGTCAAGAAGCGACGTGACATGGAGGATCACAATTACTTTGTGCCACATCGCAATGATCTGATTGAAAATTATGTAAGTAACCTACACCAAGAGCTCCGCCCACTCGGCCCCAGCACAAGCCGAAAAGAAAAACACGCCCAGGCACACACGTGCGCCTATCACTGTGTCTGTGTGGGTGGCAATTGCGATTGAACTTTGAACTTTGCGCATGTGTTTGCTGTTTGTTCAAAATTAAGGGCAATTAAGGGAGTTTTTTATTTGTTGTTGTTGTTGTTCGGTGCCCTCTCAACAAAGGAATTGCCAATTGAAAGGATTAAATGCGATTTGTTGGCACAAGTGTTTCGGATTTAATATAGATGACTTCAATGAGCTCTGAGATTCAGCCAATGCGTTGCCATCCGATTCAAGTTTAATTACAGCTGATAATTCACAAGTGGAATTAGCTCTACACGGCTAATGACATCATTTAAATGAGGCTCTCCGTTCGGCTCTTTCGGTTTCTTTGGCAATGCAGAGTTTAGCTTGAATCGGAGTTCATTGCTGCACTGGCTGCACCACAGCTGTGTCTGCTGCACCCACCACCTGAGGCCCGAAATATGTAGCCACTTAGCGGGCGATTAGTCTGCGGATGCCATTTCTCAAGCTGCCAAGTCAGCCCGGCCCAGCTCAGCTCAGTCTCGGGGCAAAGTGCTTCAACAAAATTGCGAACAGAACTCGGTAAAAAGTTTCGGGCTGAACAACAAGCTGTAAATATTGCCAGGTCAAAAGTGCAGCTGTACGAAACTTTCCGGCTGCTCAATAAATTGAGAATTAAAACAACTTTTTGGGGGCCAAACAGCAAATTTATTGAAACTCGTGCTGCGAAAAAAAAAACAGAGAAAAAAAAATGTAAAATACCACGAAAATAAGTCAAATTTTCTTTTCTTTATTTTTTTTAAGCTGCTTAGCAGTATAGCTAATTTTGGTAATATATATATATTTTTTTATATATTTCCATTCCGCAGCTACATAATCACGAATTTGTGGAGGTGTGCATGAAAATACTGTACCAGGTGGAGCTGCAGCGCACCACATTGGAGCAAATGTGGGGCTTCTCGGTGGAGGCGGAGCTGATTGAGAACGCGGAGCGGCAGGATGAGCTCTGTTGCTATGTGAGCCGCGTCGAGGACAAAAGCGTGGCCATGCACAATGGTAAGTACACTCGGGCAAATATAGCACTCGAGCAGCTACAGCTGCTTAGCTCAGCTGAATTCGTGCACTCACTCGCAATTTATGACACACAAAATGCCAAATGGCCATTGGCCAATGGGCAAACATCAGGGGAGCCAGCCCGTTGGCAGGCCAACTAAGTCTCCTGCTGCCGACTGCCCGACAGACGGCCGTAGTTCAACTGTGAAACAATGTGCGTTCCAATGTTGGCCAAGAATATTATCAAGTGGCACGCCCACTCCACTTTCAGCCTGCTACCGGCTAGCAAACATCACTGTGTTGGCATGCGCTTTTAGCTCTGTCTCTGTCTGTGAGAGGGATGGAGAGGGGGAGAGAGCTGCGCTTCTTTTATATTTAAATGCTTTTCACTTTTATGTCACAAAAAAACTTGAGCCAAACTCGCTTTGGTTGCACCGAGCACAGAGTCAAGTGGAGCACTGAAGCTGCGGCTGGAGTGAGCAGCAGTTTGTATAGCAGCTCCTCAGGGCCAGGCTCCTCAGCTACTGCAGCTGCAGCTGCAGCAGCAACTGCTCCATGAAAAACTCAACAGTCAGCAGAGGACATCACGTCGGATGATGAGCAGCGCACTCGAAGATGCTGTGCTGGCTCCCTCTCCCTCACCCTCTCCCTCTCTCTATCTCCCACTCTCTCTCTCTCTCTGTCTCTGTCTCTGTCTCTGTGTGTATGCACCTGTAATGACAGCCACAGGGCCATAGCGCCTGTGTTCTTAAAGGCTTTTCGGGCGTCATCTTAGACATCCCTTGCCTGGCCCCACCTGGCCGTGCCTTACCTTTGCCACCCCCTTGTTGTTTTTCTATCACTTAAAATCAACTTAAGTTGGCATTTGCATGCATAGTGGGAGCAGCTGGAGCTGAGGGAGCTGGGGGAGCTGGGCGAGCTGCAGTCAAGTGCTTGCAGTCGAAATGCCACTCGAGCAGCGCTTTAAATTATGTCGACTGATGTTGACACTGGTTCCGTCTTGGCACCGCCAACTCCTGCCAGGTGCTGCCTGGCGTATAACTGCACTGCCAGCACTTGCAAAAGTGATGAACCTGAAAGAAAGTCGCGCAGCGGAAACCTCATTAAGCACGTTGAGTGCGAATGTGGCAACGACAACGGCGGGGACAACAACACGAATCAAAAGTCCATAAAACAATGTGCACCGAAAATCGTTAGCAAAAACTGAGACATGAATCCGCGCCACACCTCGCCCCCCAGCCGCCCACTCGCGACTCCTTAAAACTTAGCCCTGCCACTGGCGGTTAGTTTATAATTTGCCATGAGTTTTTCTCCATTTTTGTCTGTGTTTGCTTCAATCTCTCCCTCTCCCTCTCGTCCTCTCCCTCTCTCTTTCTCTTTTTTTGTCGGTTGGCTTAAAACTGCGTTAACAATGCCACTGGACAAGTTTTTGCCAGGGTGTTGAATTTAATGAGCAGCAAATAAAGTGCTGCAGCTAGTGCCAGATTTGCTAATGACTTTGCCTGTTTACTTTCTTTTCTTTTTTCCAGTCTTTTTTTTTCAATTTGGGTAACTTTTTTTTATGTTCTGTGCAGCTGCATTGGGTAAACTGTAATTTTTGTGGATATGCATAATCAAGGTGTAATTGAATTAAATACGAGTTGCTTAACAGATAAAGTAACAATTCACTTAGCTAATCTCTTGAGCTCCAGAGAGATTTTAGCTTAGTGTAATCAATATTAAGACACTCTGACTGAAGAGCTGTCGAGGCACCAATCAGAAGTTGGTTGGTTTCTCATATGCTCGCGCTACGAGCATCAGCTTAGCGGCTTGATCAGCCGAGGTGCTGAGAGAATGAGTGGAATGAGAGGGAAACACTGAACAGACTGCTTGGCGTATATATAAAACTTCTATTAAGAACTCTTACAGCTAGCGCTTAGAGTACAAAGCTCCTTTTGCTGCTCACCTCTTCAGCAGCATTAAATTTCTATTCAGAGAGTAAGCTATTCAAGTCAATGAGTTTCTACTGTGCTCTAACTTCACTTCACTGAGCCCAGAGCTCTTAAATTCAAATACAATATATATGTATAGACAGGAGTGCCGGTTGGCTCTAGATTTTTGGTCTTTTGCCAGCTTGAATTGTTTTTAAGAGTCAGCTAGAAGTTACTTATGAAGAGGATATAATGCTTTTACAAAATGAAATGACTTTCTAGACTTTCAGCACTGCTTTACATAAGGCTTTGCTTCTTTTAAAAATTTAATTTAATTTAATAAAAATTTTATGCAATTATTTATTTTGGTGGAAAAATCAAAGAAAGCGTATTTTAATGCCTTCCAAATTATGTTTACTAGCCTTTATCAAATCTTCTCATTAATGAAAAGTCCTTATTACCCAACTCCAATCACATTTAGCTCAATTAAAACTGCAATTCTTTTTACAATTAGCAACAGTTCAATAATATTTTTTCTGCATTCTTGCTGCACTTAAACCGTAAATACAATTCAAATATAATTTCACATTTACACACACAAACACTTAGTCCGTTTAAGCTCGACGTGTTTACGCATATTCGAAAAGTTCAGGCAATGAATATTATCTGGGCGGGGGCGGGGCAGGTAGGGGGCGGTTGAAAAAAGTGTCGCAATTGCAGAGCCATAAATAAATAGTTACAAAAGTTACGAGCACGATAAAAGTGTGCAGCGAGTCGAACGATAACAAGTTGCAGCAATCGGCGAGTGTGCACAATACAATGATAATAACGGGACAATAACAGGATATTATTCAAGGACATCAATAAATATGACGTAATATTTGCCAAGCTATGTATGTAAATGGGAAACGAACAAGTGCGTGTGGCTGCATAAATTAGGGTAACTCCAAAAGAGAGAGAGAGTCAGGGAGAGAGGGAGAGGGAGTGAGAGAGGTAGATAGAAAAGAGAATTGATTTAAATGCCTATTAGCAAGTGCCAAAGACCAGTTTAAGGGCGCCACATAACAAAACTGGGCAAGCGCTGTCCAAGGCAGTTGCCAACCAGAGAAGCTGCAACATAACAAAAACACATGCAACCACCACAAATGCAGCAGCCGTTGCAGCAAATGCAAATGCTGTGGCTGCCCACTTTTCTTGAGCTAATTGAAACCCCAAAATGTCTTTGAGTTGCCTTTAATGAGCGCTTAAAGTGTGCCCTAATTCAATGTGCTTAAATGCAACCTGCCACATGCCACATGCCGCATGCCACATGCCACATGCCGCTTGCCACATGCCACTCTAAGCTGCCAACTGGCAACTGGCGCCTGTTTGCTTGGCTTTTTCCCAGTTAACAAACAGACGCAGTCGAGCAGCCATCGAGCCATCCATAATAATGATGGCCACAAATGCAACACCAACAGCAGCAGCAACAGTACTGGTAGCAGCAACATTTGCACCAACTGCCTGCGTTGCATGTGTACAGAAGTTGCATGCCGCACACTCGAGTGTTGAAAAACAAGCGTGGCAAAGTATTTGGCAAACACGAAATAACAATTTGCTCAAGCCAAGAACAAAGCTGTTGTCAACGCAGCCAAAAAAACTAAGAAAGAGAAAGAGGGAGAGAGAGAGAGAGGGAGAGAGAGAGAACTGCAAAACAGCGTAAAGCTGGAACAACCGCAACAGAGTAAACAAAATAAATATCAAGTCGAGTAGATATTTGTCTAATGCATGCGCTGCCAAAGCTAAAGCCAAATAATCCACAGCAAAACGTAACGAAACGTAAACGCAAACGTAACGAATGTGCTGCGAAAACAACACAAAAAGCACACACACACACACGAAAAAGAAATAGAAAGGAAAATCCATTTGAAATTGTAGAAAATGCAAAAATTGTGCAGGAGGTGCTGCTGCTGGTGGTGCTGCTGCTGGTGGTGCAGCTGGTTACTGTTGGCTGGCTGGCTGGCAGGTTCAAGGTGCAGCAGACTCTTGCATAAAATACACAACTGTCAGACAGATAACAACCCATGCACACACACACCAACACACGTGCGCATATCTGTCGAAGTTGCTGTAGCTGCAACAACACTGATAACGTGCAACAAAACAAAAATGAAGCCAAGCAGCTGCCTGCTCGAAATAAATGTTGTAGAAAACACGAATCACACACACACACACACACACACACACACAGAGAGTGAGTTGAGCTAGATGCAATACATTAAACTGGCAACGGGGCGTATGAACAATGCGCCGAGCACATTGTGTTTGTTATTGTTTTTATCGCTAGCCCAAGACATGGGCGCTTATCTTAAGGCAAGTTGTCACTGCCTCGCCCACAACTGATGCTGTTACGGGACCGCCTCCTGCCAAGCAGACAATAATAGCGCGCAACTATTAAATTTTACCCCAACTGCAGAGAAACTCTATTGTTTACACACACACACACGCGCACACATAGAGACATTATGGAAATAGTTAATATTATAAACGTTCGCTCGCTCTTAACTCAGTCTCTGTGTCTACTTCATTCTCTATGCAGGCATTATCAAGGGAGACGAAATAATGGTCATCAATGGCGCAATTGTTTCCGATCTAGATATGATGTACTTGGAGAGCGTGCTGCAGGAGGAGCAATCGCTCAGCATGATGATGCGGTAAGTTGCATTAATCCATTTTACACCAGTCACTCTGTCAATTGTCCGTCTCGCATGCTCTTGACTTGAATGCATCAGCTTCAAGGCAGGCGACATGCGAGCCTTGCATTTCCCATTTCCCATTTCCCGCTTTACTTTTCTATTACTTGCCATTGTTGCCTGTCGATATGGCTGCTCATTGTTTAAACAGATATCAAATATAAATATAAACATATATGCACATGCATATATTGTATATATGTATGTGTAGACTAATTAACAACTTGGCCATTGTTTAACCAACAATGACATTTATCGCTCTTTTAATGCCTCAGCTGGCCAGCACAACAATTGCCTAGAGTTTGCTTTGTTTCATAAACGAATTAAGCTATTGCCTTTAAAGTTTGCTCTAGGCCGATTGCTCAGCTTCACTTGGCATTTCGTTTAATTCAATATAATAATCATATTGCAGCTCCGCAGCCCGAGGCCAATTCACAGAACTCTGTTTAGTTATGCCGTATCATGTGTTGTTGAATCTCATTAATTTTGCTATTTGAGATAACAGATCTGGCAGAGGTGCCAAAGCTGCTTAAATATTAATTAATTACAGATTTATCGAGCCGTGCCTAATCCCCGATTCAATATTATTTTATTGAATAACATATGCAGTTGAGCTTATGCAAATCAAAGTAGAGAAATAAATCTAAATTAATCCCAATTTTTTAAAAGTACTTTAAAGAGCAAGGCAAACTAACGAAATCACAAAATTTTGTTAAGGCAAGCCAGATAAAGCACTTACTATATATACATATATTATATACATATATATTTCCTATACCTCCTGCACCTTCAACCTTTACAAGCTGAACTAACTTTCAGGTCGTTTTTTCCGCTCTACGATGCATTTTTCTGACAGCTTCGGCTTTGTTATGGCACTCGAGAAATCAATTAACTTTTCTAATGGCAGCTTTTATACATTTTTTTTTTCTTTGTGCTGCACAATTTGTGCGCCTACTCGTGTACAGTATATCTATCTTAAATTCTCAAAGCGAGCTACCGAAAAAAAAAAGAGAGAGAGAAAAACCCCTCGAAATTGGCTGCTTCAACCTCTAAAGCCACACACTCGTTTAATATTAAATACCGCACAAACTTTCAAAATGAATTTAGAGAAAAAAAAAAGCGAAAAAGAAAAACCTCGAAATATGTCAACATTCGACAAGCTTTTTGTACATTTTAGTAGCTGTAGTTGGCCAATAAGCAGCACAGAGACACACACACACACACACGCGCACGAACAGTATAAAAAAAATAGTTTCGCAACAAATCAAAAATGGGAAATTTAGCACCAAAAATGGCAGAGACGAGCAAGTTTTCCGAGCTTTTAATATTCCGCTTTTCAATTTTCATGACAAAGTCCGAAACAACAAAACTAAAGCCACAGATGAACACAAACACATTGACCAGTTACCCATATAGAAGAGCGAGAGAGAGAGGGAGAGGGAGAGGGAGAGCGAGAGAGATGGCTGCGGCTAGAGCGCTGAAGTAGGGTTGATGTTTCGGGGGTTCGCTGGGTTCAGGATTGAAGCACAGGGAGTTGGCTTTTGAGGCGGGACGGCGACGACCCTTCGGCCAGCGCATAGCCAGGCATTTTGATAGCCTAATTAGCTGCTCTTTATGGCCGCATTGGCTTTTGTGTTAAGCGTTTGCGAGGCAGCAAACTGTAACCCATGACCAGGGACCAGCCTCGTCCCACACCCACCCACACGTTCCCAAATCCCATTCAAATTATGCACGTTGGAAAGCAGTTTTCCGCATCTTTTGCCACTGACATAGAAAAAGGTCAGCCAGGTGTTTGGCCTTAAATCGTGGACTCTCAACTCGAATCCAATAACAACAAATTATGTTAATTATTTTGTGTACTTTCATCCAAAGTTGCTTTAACATTGTCTACTCTTCTTCTTGTTCTTGTTCTTCTTCCCATTGTACAGCTCCTCACGCACCGAGCCGCCAGATCTAGTGGGCATAATGCGTGTAACGGACGATATGATTGACTCTCTGGTGTGCCCGCCGCCGCCCACAGATCCGCCAGTGATGAGCGAAGAGATGATAACTGGACTGATTGTGCCAGCTCCCGGTTGGAGTAAGTATATCTATCGCCGCTCTATACATATACATATGTATATAAATGCGAACTGTAAATACCTTTGGTCTGGCTTTCAACTAAAACAGAAACAAAAACTGTGCGTGGAATGTTTTTCTATATATATACACACACACACACATATATAAATACTTTTTATTTAGCTTTCTGTTATTTTGTTTTCAGCATTTGAAAGCCGCAGCCCAACATTCATCTACGGCTACAACAAAAGCATACTAATCACAGCAGTTGTGCTTGTTGTTGTGCTTGTTGTTGTGGTTAAGGTGCGGTGTACCCGCATCTCCCACTCCCTCTCTCTCTCTGTCTCTCTCTGTCTCCCTCTCCCTCTCGCTGTTTCTGTGTGGTTGGCGCTGTGACGGTAACAGCGGAAACGTAAAGCGCATTTCCGGGCGCGCATGCGAATTTGTAAAGTTCATTAAAGTAATTTATATTTTTCGTTTAATGCATGTTGCAAGTGCTTCATACAACATGCAACAACAATTACATCAATAAGTAGCGTGCTAACAGAGCGAGGAAGAGAGAGAGAGAGAGAGAGACAGAGAGAGGGATGGATAGTGTGTGGGTGGGAGAAACGAATAGTTCCCTGTGTATGTGTGTGTGTGTGTGTGTGGCATGCCATACTGTCGTTGCGTTTCGTTTCGCTGTGCAGCAACAACAACTACATAATTACAGGATTACAAACTGCGCCCACACACACACACACACACACACACACACACACACGCACACACGCTGCACTGCACTCAAAAAGCCGAAGTGGCTAAGAACACAAAACAATTAAAAACCAACAAACGCAGAAAACAACGGCAACAACAACGTGTATGCATGTGTTTGTGGGTGTGTGTGTGTGTATTTTATATAGTACACAAAATGAAACATTTTTATGCGGCAAACAATTAAAAGGCACAGCAAACTAAAAAAGAATTAAAATAAAAAATGCAAACACTAAAACAAGAACAACACGAAGGCATATATGAAAATAAAGAGAAAAATCAAGTATATACATATATAGCTATATATATGTATATGTAGAAAAAATTAAACGACTCATATGCAGCTGCCACATGTATTGGCAATGTGTGTGCGTGTGTGTGTGTGTGTGCATTGCGTATTTTGTAGCATATTCGCCATTTTGGCACACAGTCGGCTGATGAACGGACATTTGTGGCATATGGCTTATAGATATGGCGGCATATGCAACAAAAATCGTTTGCCATTCAACATGAATGAGGGAACGGGCAGCAACACGAGAGTGAGTGAGAGCGAGTGAGAGGGAGAGAGAGAAAAAGAAAAACTGGATTACATTTCACTTTGGCAATTAAACCGAGAAAGGAACTTGGGCAAACGCTGCAACGGGGCATGCAACTTGACGTTGAAGCACTTTTAGCTTATTAAATGCACAATTTGATGAAGACTGCAATCAGAGAAGAGCAAGAGCTGTGTCTACTCCATATAAATAAATATATACACATGTATGTATATATCTGAATGTACAACTGAAGCTGGTCAAACGTTACATCATTTCCATTTTCGTTTCCATTTTCTTTCGTTTTTTGGTTAATTAAAAAGAAGAGCCAAAAGCACTTTGAGTGTATTCGAAACAGTTTTCATTATCATATGTTACTCTCTTGTAGTCATGCAGATAATTAGTTCCTCTTTTGACTCTCTCTCTCTCTCTGTCTCTCTCTCTCTCTCCCTCTCTCTGAAAGTTTGCATTATAGAGCGAGTGCATCTAATTAGCTTGCCATGGCTACGTATGTATATACATGTGTATATAAGTTTAGCCAAAAGTTTAGCCTGCTTTAAAAATGATTAAATTTTACAGCCAGAGCTTAAATAGTTTGCCAACTGATTTTCGGCTAAATATTTATATATATCTAGCGCAAACTTTGGCAATAAACTGGAAGCTAAATAGCAAGTGCCCCGAGCCTTGGCGCACATGTGTTCTGATATATGATATTATAATAACTTAGTCAGGTCAATATCTTTGAGCTATCAATAGCTGTCAAAATAGCTAAGGCCAGCTGCTCTTTTCTCACCTGACGACATGCCAAAAAGGAGCTGTGGAAGAAGCATTCGATATGTTTTTAACAGTCTCACGTTTGGGCTTAGCCACCAGCACAGCTCGTATCATAAACTTGTGACCCACCTGCCTCGCCCAGGGACACACACACGTATACACGCACGCACACACACTCGTCTTAGTTTAAGTAAAGCCACTACTAAAATGCCAGACTTTATGGCCAATGCACGTTTTCGAGTTGCTCGTTTAAATGACCAACAACAACAACAACAACAGCAGCAACAGCAACCAAGCAAGCAAAGTGTGGAACGAACAACGTCTATAAGTTATTAGCCACGTCTCCGTAGTTGTCTAGCTTTGCCTTGGAGAACTACGTGCAATTTGTAAGAAGACCGCAACTTGAAATTTATAAGGCGGCAATTTCAATATCTCACACACACACACACACACACACACACACATGCACACCCCTAGCCTCTGTGTGTGGTGTCAAATTTGAAGCAAAATGTTCATAAAATTTGTTGTAACCAATTTGCATGTGGCAAGCCGAGGAGCCGAGCGTCAAGGACATGATTTTTAAACGCTTCCTGGCGCTGCCAAAACTACCACGAGCTCACACACACACACGCACGCACACACACATGCATGCACATACTTTGTACGTGTATGCATGCCATGTGTATGGGCCATTTTTTGCTTCTTGGTTAAATCTTTGCCGCGCCTGCATACATATGTACGTACAGATATCTCTGTGTGTGTGTGTGTGTGTTGCCTTCACATACTCCAAGCTCGCGCTGCCTTCGCCCCCTACCCCACTTATGTTGGACGTTGTGGCAAACACATAGCAGCAAATACATACAGCTTGTTGTGGCTGTTGTTGTTATTCTTTTTGCTGCTGTTGTTTTTTTGGCTGCTCCTGCTCGCTGCTGGCTGGCCCGCTCCTAGCCAGGAGGCTGCCGGCTGTATTTTTGTTGTTATTACTTTCAGCTTTGTGCCTGCCTGCCTCTTTGGCTGGCTGGCTGGCGTTGCCTGGTTGCTTGCTTCTTTTTTTTTTCTACATACATATTTTGTTTTCTTTTTATTTTTGGGGCGCCATTTCTGCAAGTATTAAATTCCTGCTGCTTTTTATTGCGCAAACATGGAATTTAAAATTAACAAACAAGCTGCAACAACATAAATAAAATGCTTAATCGAACTTTAAGCCGGCAGCAGCCGCGCAGCAGCGGCGCAGTCTGTGTTGGCCAGAGGCAACTGGCAACTAATTATGAGCAGCAGCCAAAAACAAATAATAATAAACATAACTAACTGTTATCTTTAACTCATGCTCGAAACTAATGGCCCCATCGTGTACTCTCCTTCTAGATGGCACTGGCAAGGATTTGTATTCACCGGAGGCGGAAAGCTCGCCGGCGCCCTCATTTGTGGAGCCAACTGTGGCGCAATTGGCAGCCGGCGCTGGCGCTGGCGTTGGCGTTGGCGGGGGCGGCATCATTTCAGGACTGGGCGTGGCCAAGCCAACATCGCGCACCAGCAGCTTTGAAATTGAGAATCTGCTCAAGACTGCGGAGCAAGTAAGTGCCTAGTACTCAGCCCTGTTTACCCCTCTCTATCCCCCATCTCTCTACCGCTATATATATATATATATATTATATAAACATGACCAAGAAGAAACAAAACGCAAACACGTTAAACCCGTCCCGAACCCAACAAAAAACTAAAATGAAATAAAATAAACCCCTGGCCCCTAGACCTGACATCCAAAACAAGATTCGAAGCTGGCGCTGGGAACGGAACTTGGCACTTGGCTGACACCCGGCTGAGGCAGCGGGCAAAGTCAGTTCCAATTGCTTTGAACTCGCCGAGCGGAAGCGGAAACTATTAAAACGAGCGCCAAACACGAGCCGCAGCACGGCAAGGGGCTGCAGCCCGTCCGGGCAGTGGCATGAGCCTGGGGTTTGTGCACTTCTGATTGAAATGTGCACAAATTGAAATTTGCTAAAGCCAAGAGAGAAGTGCCTCGTGTGGGTTAAGCTATGCCATGGCAGAAGGAGCAGCAGGAGTAGTCATAGGGGTGGCAGAGGTGGGGAATATGTACTCGTAGTCTTGGCTGTCAGTTGTTGCCGCTCAAGATGTTTGTGCCACAAATTTGGCCTATTGGGTCTTGTTGCTTGCAAGTCACCAAACAATAAACGTCACAAATAGAAATGTGCTGGCATAAAAATATCAAGGATATATACACAACAAATATGAACGACAGGCTACACAGAGACAGAGTGAGAAAGAGAGAGAGAGAGAGAGTGTGTGTGTGTCGGGGGCAGAGCCAGTGACAGTGAGTGAGACAGATAGAGCAGAGACAAGAAAGAAACGCAAAGACGCCACAGAATGCACTTTGTTTCTGGATATGCTTTACCCAAGTGTGCTCGAAACTGGCAGAAACCCACTTCATTTAATGATACTTGAACACTGTGACACACAAACACACTGAGGCCGAGCACACACACACACACACAGACACACACACATGCAGAACTGCCAGGCGAGACAGCAACTGGAGAGTCAGGGCGTTACATAAGAATCCTTTTAATTCAAGTTGACATTTCGCACAGCAGCAGCAGCAGCAGCAGCGGCAGCAGCGGCGGCGGCGGTGGCAGTGGCGGCTTCTGCTGCAGCTCACCAAGAAATTCAAGAAATTTTCAAATTTTTCATCTTTGGGGCATGACGCCAGCAGCAGCAGCAACAGCAACAACAACAACAATGAGAGCTGCTGCAACAACAATGTTGGCACTCAGCAGCTGGCCCATAAGCTGCCTCAGCCGCTCACCTGGCGCACTAAGCCCGCCATCCAGCCCAGCAGCCCAACAGGCTACCCAGCCAGCCATCCAGCCCGCCTCTCGGCCCTGGTCGTGCCCCTTTTGTGTCTTACTCTTTGTTGGTTTTGGGTCGCCGCTGCCGCTGCCGGTGCCACTGCCGCTGCCGACGCCGCTTATGCAAATCAGCGGCGCAGCCGTCGACGATGCAGCTGAAAGAAATGCAGAACAATAAAACAGTTAAAAGTAGACAAGAACAAGCTGCACAACAACGCCAAGACAGAGCCAAGGAAGAGAGAGGAGAGAAAGAGACAGATGCATAGGGAAAAACGAACGAAACAATAATACACAAAGTGCAACTGCATAAAAGTGAAATGTCTTCTTCCACAATGCCAGCGAGCAGCAACAACAACAACAACAGCAATTCAGCTGAATGTTGCACGAACAATGACAACTGAAATTTCATGAGATTGTTGTTGCAACTACATGGCAAAGTCTTCAAGACAGCAAGTGTGTGTGTGTGTGTGTGTGTGTGTGCAGAGATGGAAACGTGACAAAACAATCAGTCACGAAAACAAACGTGGCATCATCTGATGCATTTATATGCTGCAGCGGTTTTCTGCCATATTCTCCAATTTAAATCTAACACAAAATGTTGCTTAACTGCGACGGTAGATGGCGCTAGCTCCGACTAAAATGCCCAGCCTGCATATATGCAAACAAAAAGCAGCCAATTTAGCGCTCAATACAAACACAAGCGCAAATTTACATTTATATTAATGTACATCGATGTACAAAAAAGAATTGAGCATATTTTACAGTTACTTGTGCAGCCTCGAGCTATTTATATTTGCCTTCGCTGCTGCTGCTGCTGCTGCCGCTCGAAGAGTTGTTTTCATATGCTTTTGCTTCTGCTCTTCATGAGTTTCAATATTCTGTGGACAGATGGCGCTAGGCTGCCTATATATAGGATTGTTGTCTCTCTTACTCTCACGCGCAGTGCCGTGCAGGCCAGTGAGTATTGCACTCACACACATCAAACGAGCGAAAGCTCGATCGCACTCACACACACGTGTTTGAACTCTTGCGCCCCCGAGGATGCCAGCATGAGAACGATATTAAATTTCGTTGGCGTTCAAACTATATCGGCTATCAGCTGAAAGTCGCAAAGAGTATACAGTTAAGCCTTTGACTCAATCACGCTGTCATCGCCAATGACTGGCCATTCCTTCGGGCAGGGCGCATTGTGAGCCCTGTCAAGCACAGTGGTAATGCTTATGCGCCATCTCTCAATCGCTATTGCTGTCCCTGTCGCGCTGCTGTTTACCGCTCTGTTGATTTAAACTCTGACCTTTTGCAAATTGCACAGCACTCAAATACACACACACACACACAGACAGATAGAGGAAAAGAGAGAACAACAGAGACAGATAGAGTGGGGCGTATAAAAATATTTGTTTAGGCATTTACAATGCAAATTCGTTCAATATTTTGATGGGCGTGGCAAGTCAATTTAACTAAGTTCCGGTCAACGAGCCATTTAACACTTTTGCCTAACGAAGAAAACACCAAGAATAATGACAGAAAGTTAAACCAATAGAAAAACAACATAACGAATGGGAGAAAACTTGAGCGAACAACAAAAAATTGTAACTGAGGGAAAACCGAGAGACCTAAAACCACTGTGCGAGTGACATAAGAAGGCTGAAGATTTGCGCACCTCTACACTTTATGCAAAATGCGGTTGTGTGGTTAGCTCTGTATGTGACTGTACGCGTGCGCTACTGTGTGTGTGTGTGTGTGTTTATTTGGTGTAGTTGTATGCACACACACTCTATGTCAACCGTCAAGCGTCAACTGTCAGTGCCAAATGTGCTTGTAACCGCACACAAACAGCAACACCAACACCATCACGAACAGCAGCAGCAGCAACAACTTTGCCGAGGACAAAACACAACAGCAACAACAACAACAACAGCAGATACAACAAGCAAACGACGCCCCCAACTTGGACTTACGACAAGGACGTGACAGTCATTTAGAACCGCAGCTGACGTCGCCTCCGTCGCCGTCGCCGTCGTCGCTGGGGCTACGTTTATGTCTGTCTGTTTAAAGTGGCCGCCGCGAGTTCTACAATAATGCCAGCCATCCAGCCATCCAGCCAGCCAGCACTCAGCTGAACGACCCATGCCAACAGTTTGACCCAGTCCAACCGAACCCAACGCCCTGAAACGACCCAGCCCAGCCCAGTCCAGCCCACCCCCGTATCCGTCCTGTTCTAACTATCGCTGTCTATCTATCTCTGTCATGCTAACTTCATTTTTGTTTATTGTCATTTATTTTTGGTGTCTCTTTTTTGTGTGGTATCTTCGCTCGTTTTCGTTTCGTTTCTTTCGTTTCACGATCCTCATCATGCAACAACAACAATAACAACAACAACAACAACAACAACAACAACAACAAACACAACAACACAACACAATCAACAATCAACCAACCAACCAACCAACCAACCCAACCGAACCGAACCCTGACCTGTTAAGGTTACCGGATTTTGTCGTTCACCTCAGGAAACGCGCAAATCGAGCCCCACGGGTTCAGTCACATCGTCGGTCTCGACCACAGCTTTAACGCCATCGCGCCAACTGACCGATGCCGAGAAGCTGCGCAAAGTCATCATGGAGCTGGTGGAGACGGAGCGCACCTACGTCAAGGTAAGTTCACTCTATGATTATATTATCCTATTAAATTAGTTTTTTCCTCAGCTCAGTTTTTTATATGCGCCCGCAGCGTGTAGTTTGATTTTTTTTCTCTCTCTTATATCATATTCAAAATGAAACGATAGAGATTAAGTAGATATACATACATACATATATAAACTTGCACTGCCGTCTGCATTGCCTTGGCTAAATTTGCAATATTCATAAGCCTGGCACAGCTGGCTTGGCCAACAGGGTATTTGAACACCTTCCAGAACTATTATTTCTTGGCTTTGGCTTCGAGTACGGCTCGTCGGCCAAAAAATATTACACATTCCATTCATTAGTGTTGGCTCGCAATTAAAAATGCAAATTTTAATCCTTTAGCCATGCGGCTGTGTGGGCTGCTCTGGCTTTAAGCCACGCCCTCTCGAGTTTGCCAGGAAGCATACAAATAATTATTATAATTTAGAAATTATGTAAAGCGCCGCGCCGCTGCGGCGAGTCTTATCTCTCTGGCAGTGGCCCGACGACGTCCGCGCGCCCCCCTCGCTGCCCCCTGGCCATATTTGCAGTCCCCATTCCCAGCTATCCGCTGGCCGGAAGTATTGTTCCAAATGAAAGCGCGCGCCTGCGGCTATGCTACAGTTTTTGCCCATATTTTTATTTACTTTTTTTTTGAGTCTATCTACGTTGTTGTTGCGGGGAAAACTAAAAAGTTGCTCGGCCGAGAGAACTGGTCACCAGACTCAGACCCAGTCCCGGCCCCGGCCCCAGTCCCGGCTTCAGTCCCAGCCCCAGCCCAGCGCAGCAGAGCTCAGCTCAGCTGGGAGTTTTCGGGGGTGTGGGGGTGCTGTTGTGGGCAGTTGTCGTCGTTCTTGGGCTGCTGATTTTTTAATTTAATTTATGCATCTTTCTTTCATTTCGTTTTATATTATTTTGTTCCTTTTGGTTGTTGCTTTTGCCTGCTTTACTCATTTTTCATTTTTTATGTGTCAACAAATTTGAATTTATTGAACAACAACAACAACCAGATGGGTGTAAAAACATTTGAATTATTTTATAATCTTTTTTTCATCTTCTTCTTCTTCTCTGTATGCAGCACTTGAACAATCTGCTGGAGCATTATCTGGAGCCCATGAAACGCGAAACGTTTCTATCGAATGCGGAAATTAATGCGCTCTTCGGCAACATACACGAGATTGTTACATTCCAGCGTCAGTTTCTCCAGAATCTCGAAGAGGCGCTCGAACTTGAGCCGGAATTCAATAAATTCGAGCATTGCGGCCAGTTCAGGGTAAGTTTATCCGTCGACTCAGTGCGTGACTCGCCTAACTAATTCCAATTTCTTTTGACTTATATTGTGTATGTGTGTTTCTTTCCATGTTTAATCTCTTTTTGTTCTTATTCTCTCGCCCACTCTCCCACTCTTTCTCTCTCTCGCTCATGCAGAACGTCTTGTTTGCGATTGGCTCGGCTTTTCTCTATTATGTCAATCACTTCAAGCTGTACTCCTCGTTCTGCGCCAGCCACAGCAAGGCCCAAAAGGTTCTACATCCAAGTAAGTACATTGAAACTATTTACATAAAATTCCATTAGACTGAAAGCAATCTGACTTTAAGAGAGTCCGAGTAAGCCAATTCAGATAAATACTAAATACATTTCTGTTCAGCTGAATAACGCAATTAACGTGAAAGTTTATTAAAAAATATATATATTTTCCATTGGCAAATATGTGTAGATTTTTCCATATTGATTCTGTAATGGAAATCAACAAATATATGCGCAAATCGAATCACTCATACGCCCCGTGCGCCAAGCTGAAAAAAAGCCACAGACTTCTTTTAGCTTGTTTTCATGCAATCATTTACATGTGTATAAACTGTGTTGCAAAACGAATAAAAACGCAGGGCTGGAGAATTCCGTAAGCGTGTCGCATGACAATTCAGATAGAAAGTATTTACCATATATGCATAAATCCATATATTATGAGCCATGTGTGTTTGTATTTGTGTGTGTGTGTGTGTGGCTGCTGCTCTCAACTATTGCAATCAGCGTAAAGCGTCAAAGTCTATTTGAGTTGGAAGTTTACTGAACTGCCGTGGAGAAGGGGGAGGGGCAGGGCCCGGGGGAGGGCCAAGGGCGCTGCTGCTGGGGAAAAGTTGTGAAAAGTAAAACAAGCGACAAGTTGCGAACAATTGGCAAACTATGCGCTTCAATTGTTGACAGTGGCTGGCGCAGCTGCTGTTGCTGCTCCTGCCGCTCCTGCTGCACCCCTGCCACAGGCTGAGCCTTTAAATGATTTGCAAGTTAAATGAATAATTACAACCGCAAATGCGTAGACGTGGCGAGGCAGCAAATTTCCGTGCAAGGCGGCAGGGCGTGGCATGTTCATATTCATGCCAAGGCAGCAGCAGCAGCAGCGGCAGCAACTGTCAAGTATCTTTTGTTAATTAAACTTGTAGAATTATGACACGCTGGCAAATGGGCAAATGGGCAAATGCGGGGGCTGCCAAAAACTATGCCGCGCTGTTGCCACTGGCTGTGGCAGCCAACCCGCAAACGACGAGGCGCATAAAAGGCAGCCGGAGCCAGCCGAAACGGGCGGAACAGCTGCCGAGAGAATTGCAGAGACTAGCGGGACTCCAGAATCCAGACATCCCTGGCGAGAGTCTGGCTTAGGCGACAACATGTCATAATTAAATTAGACTTAGTGGCAGCTTAAAAACACTCGAGCAAACACAAGTGCCACAAATGGGAAGCAGACGGCAAGAGAGCAAACAAACAGCAGGAGCAGCAGCAGCCGTTGATTATGACTATGCCGAACTGAAAATGCTCTTGCCTCATATGTGATAAGAGCAGGAGAAGGAAGATTGGATTTGGAATGGAGGACATTTCATTTAGAAGAGATTTCTGTAGTGATAAAAGTAAATGCAGGTTCATTTGGGAAATATTTATTATGTAAAATAAAAATATATAAAAATAATATTAAAATTGTTCTATAGCAGCTAGGCACCTAGAATTTGATGAGCTCATTCCTTGCCACATAAAAACCCCGCAGTAAAGTCTCTATTACCTCAACTATAATCCAACAATTAAGCTCAGTGCAAATCGAAGCACTAAAGTTCACTTAAATCCTAATAGCCCAACAGCAGATTTCTGTAATGCCTAACAAGTTAATAATGTTTCGATAATACCTTGAGCAAAGTCACTGAGTGGCAGGGAGAGAGAGATTTGTAAGCGCTGTAAATGCATTAAAATTACATAAAAGTAGAAAAAAAAAGGTAACTTATTAACGACGACAACAGCAGAAAAAGAAAAGCAGCAGCAGCAACGTCGTAAAGGTAAAAATTTGCAATATTTGCAATCAATGGCTGTCTAAGCAGCTGCCAGGAACAGAAGCAGGAGCCGAAGCAGAAGCAGGAGTAGCAGCAATGGCAAAAGCTGGAGCACAGTTTGTCAACTTAAGTTTGAGCTTTAGGTATGACAGACACTCGAGCTGCTGCCGCTGCTGCTGCTGCTGCTGCTGTTGCTGCTGCTGCTGCGCTTGGCTGTTGCATGCAATTTTATGCAAAAAGTTGAAAGGATAATTAATTATAGCAAGAAGTGCACTTAAGTGCCTTCGTTACAAGCAGCAGCAGGCAAAAGCAGCAAGCAGGAGCAGGGATCGGGAGAGAGTGGGAGAACAGGAGTGCGGGAGTGGGAGGAAAGGACGTCAACCATTAGACGCAAATCCGTGCAACAGACAGGCTTTGACTGTGCCTTTATCAAAAGCTTCTCAGCTGGCTATAAGAACAACTTAATGACATTTTCTTGTCAACGTTGTGCACGTGAAGCCTATTGCCCTCTCTCTCTCTCTCCCTCGCCGTCTCTCTCGCTGTGCCTTTGTGTCGCAATTAATGGAAATTGAAGTGTGCATTGAAATCAAATCATTTGCCAAATTTATCACAATTCTCGCAATTGCTAAGCACCATTCGAAATTGTCTCATTTGCCGCAGATGAGGGCAACCATGCGCTGCAGGAGTTCCTGGCCGCACGCAATCCCAAGCAGCAGCACAGCAGCACTCTGGAATCGTATCTGATCAAGCCCATCCAGCGCATCCTCAAGTATCCGCTGCTGCTGCAGCAGATGCGCAATCTGACAGATACGCGGGCCGACGAGCACGTCCACCTGTGCGGTAAGTAGAGGGACGAAGGGGACGGGGGATGATGACTCTTGAGCCCTTTCAGCGCTAATGTGACTTTGCAATTTCCACAGAGGCACTCAAGGGCATGGAGAAGGTGGCGGAGCACATCAATGAGATGCAGCGCATTCATGAGGAATATGGCGCCATTTTCGATCATCTGTTCCGGCAGCATCAGAAGTCGTGCAAGCAGCCCATCGATTTGAGTCCAGGTGGGTTACACCAAACGCATTCAATAGCTACATCAGCCTCAAATGCCAATGCCAATGCTCCTTCCCCGCAATGCTGCGCATTCCCAGGCGATTTGCTCTACTATGGCGGCGTCGAATGGCTAAACATTTCCGACTTTCTGGGCAAGATCAAGAAGGGCCTCGAGCTGCACGCCATGTGCTTTGTGTTCAAGTCGGCGGTGGTGTTCCTCTGCAAGGAGCGTTTGCGCCAGAAGAAGAAGCTAATGGTGAGTAAATGGCCCGGCCAAAGGACTCGATTTCAATGGGCTTATAAATGACTTTTCGCACAGGGCGTGTCGAGCAAGAATGCACCAAATGAGGTGGAAATCATACGGTATCAGGTGCTAATACCCGTCACCGAGGTGCAGGTGCGCGCCAGCTCGGCCAAGGACATGGACTCGCACTTCCTCTGGGAGCTAATACACCTGCGCTCGCAGCTGCAGCGCCGCTCGGAGAAGGTCTACGTGCTGTCCAATAGCACCGCCGATTTCCGCAATGCATTCCTTAAGACCATCAGGCAGATAATCCGCGAGAGCGTGCGCAACATGTCAATTCCCATGAAGAACTTTGGCGGCAGCTCCGGCTCCGTCTCGGGCATGTCCTCCCAAATGGGCGGCTATGCGGGCAACTCGCAGACGCTGGAGCGACCCAAGCAGCAGGTGAGCTGCAGCCACAGCTGCTCAGGCAGCGCCCCCGACCAGCTGCTAATCCTCCAGTGCACTCCACAGATCACCATCGTTCATGGCTCGCATACGCTGGGCAAGCCGAAGAAGAAGTCCGGCTCGCAGCGCCACTCGGCGGGCAATATTGACTACGACAATCTGTCGGGCAGCCAGGAGGGCGACGATCTACCGCCGAGCGTTGGCGGCGGGGTGCACTATATGCCCCACTCCCAGCAGCAGCAGCAGCAACAGCAACAACAGCAGCAGCAGCTGCAGCAACTGCAACAACAGCCGCTGCCACAGCCGGGCGGCTTTCGCAGTCGCAGCAAGACGCTGGGCGATGTGACAGGTAAGTGGAGCAGCTCGTCATCCACTGCAGGCTGGCTAATAATCGGAGCACATGTCGTATATCATCGCATCATCGCATCACGCACACACATAAAGAAATCATTTGCTCGCCCACAGATTCGCAGCAGCCACAGCAGCAGCTGCAGCAGCAGCAGCAGCAACAGTCAATGGCGCCGCATCCACATCCGCATCCGCGCGAGCCGCCGCCACCGCCCATCAGGCAGCCGCATTTACATCATCACAGCAGCGACATTGAGCGCATCGATCCGGGCACCAAGTCGGAGGGCGAGGAGGACTCACAGCAGGGCACAATCAGGCCCAAGGCTACGCTGGGCCGCACGCCCAATCACCTGACGCTCAGGTGAGCTCCAAATCTCAGTAGGCAAATGGCCTTCGCTCTGTAGTAATTGCCATGCCGAAATAACTGCCAGATGATAGAAGCGAAAGTAATTGACTGGGAATGGGAAAGCGAATGCGAATCGAATTGAATGAGCTTTCATTAATTATCCAGAGAGTATCTGGCCAAGGGTCTGGTAGTTGTTTCACTTGAACTCCTCGTAAATCTCCTTTATCGCTTGATTTATTGCTATTTCTCTCTCTCTCTCTTTGTCTCTTCCCACTTATTATCACATCGTGCAGCACCACGTCGACGCTCTCGGTGGGCAGCACTGGCAGCCAGGCGCGCCTGATACAATCATCGCATCCGCCGGCCAGCTATCAGCCGGTGCTAATGAAGGATCTAGGTAAGAGCAGCCTAGACGTAGTTGCCAGCGAGTCCGAGCACGAGTCGGAGTCCGAGGCGCATGCGGTGCACGTGGCAGCCACGTTTAATCTAAGTCTAGGCAGTAGTGGTAGCTTGTTCGCAGCAACAACAGCAACAACAACAACAATCTGTAGCGACACTAATCCAAATCAGACCCCGACCTCGACATCGACACCGACTACGACACCGACTCCCACTCTGACCCCCCACACGACCCAGACCCAAGCACAGAGCCAGAGCCAGAGCCAGACCCCCAGACACTTGTCGCCGCGCCAGTCGCCTCGCCAGTCGCCCAAGCAGGAGATCGAGGTCATTGAGATCTTCGAGAGCGAAGCGGAGCGCCTGGCCGCCTCACAGCAGGTGGCCGTAGTGCATCAGCATCCGCGAGGAGGCGAGGCGCAGCAAAAGCGACGCGAACGCGAACGCGATGCCAGCAATGGCTCAGGTGCCAGCGGGCATGCGAGCGAAACGGATGCCACCACACGCTTCATGGACAAGCATCTGTGCGAGCTGGAGCAGGAGGATTTGGCGGCGGGCATATGCGACATTGCCACCTACATGGCCAATCTGCGCGAGAAGGCCTTCGAGCCGACCGACGCCGGCGACGAGGCAGCCGATCAGCAGCAGAACGACTCCAGTCTCTCGCCCGAGCCTCAGACCATCGTGGAGAACACTCAGCAGATCGTGACCGTGGACATTGAGTCGCCCTCGCGGCCAGCCACCGAATCGGACAGCACTGGTGGCAATACAACTGGGCCCTCGGAGCGCTCCGGCGACGATACCGAGGACGAGCCGACCAGCTCGCTGGCCTCGCACATCGTCGTCATCGACAAGAAGGTGGACAAAATTTTCAAGGCCAAGTCGCCGGAGCGAGCGAGCGCTGCGACGGGCAGCAAGCCGAAGAGCGGCAAGCGCCAGAGCATATACATTTCGCCAGATCGGAGCAAGTCGCAGGGCAGCTCCCCGGTGCGCATCATAAAGATCAAATCGCCGCGGACGAGCGTCAGCGAGCAGGGCAAACGGCTGAGCATCTGCTCCAGTCGCGAGAACTCGCAAGATCGCCTCTCCGGCGGACGACGCACGCCCAGTCCACGGCGCAGCTCCGAGGGCGGCGGCATCCTGAAGCACACAAGTCCCGGCGGGGGCATCCTGAAGCCGCCAGCCAGCCCGGCCAAGTCGAAGAGTCCCGATCGCAGCTGCCTGAAGAAGAGCGGCCCCTCGCACGTCTGCAGCTCGGAGCCGGGGACGGCATCGTTGTCGCCGCGCATCTCGCCGCGTGGCAGCGTCGACCATCTGTCGCCCGATCGGGCCAGCATCTGCCAGCGCCATTCGCCGCGCAGCAGCTTCGATAGCCACGGCGGCTCCGACCACAACCTGGATGTGCCCTACGGCGGCGGTGGCTCGCGCAAGCGCAGCATGTCTGCCCACGGCAGCTTCGAGACGGGCACCAAGCCGCACGCCCAGGAGACATATCAGTACTATCCGGTCTACGACAATCAGACGTGCAGCGATCATTATGTGGCCGCCGCGCCCACTAGCAGCCGCTACGGCTCGGGCAACGGACGCAGCCGGTTGAGCAAGTCGCTGGAGCGCTCCACCTCGCGCGACAGCACCACCACGAGCAGCTCGTATCGCGCCTACGGCGTCTCGCCCGAGCGCAACTATGTTGTCTACAGCTCCGGGCCACTGCGCTCCCAGTCCGCCGAGAACACCTTCTCGCAGCCCATTTACGACGCGCTGCCCAGGCAGCCGCCACAGCAGTACATGCCCATGGTTAGCTACATGCAGGAGATGGAGATGGCCGGCTATGGCCAGCCGCCGCCGATGGCCATGCCAATGGGCGGCTGTCAGCATGATCCCGCCCAGCAGTCGGTCTATCAGCTGAGCTCCTCGGCGCCCGAGTACACCACATGCATTGACTGTCTGTACCAGAAGCGACCCTCCTAGCATAAGTCCCGCGTGCGGCAGAGTCGCACGCGGAAGAAGACGCCACGCGGACTGAGCGGCATGCCCGGAATGCCAGGAATGCCAGGAATGCCCGGCATGGTGGTTAGCACACAGCCGACGGCCAGCGGTGGCATTGGCTACATGCCGGACATGGGCGGCGATCCGGCGGGCGGCTGTGTCGACTGCCACGACTACTTCGAGATCCATGTCTAAGGGCAGGCGACGGGATGCAAATCGAGTGAGGATGAGACACGTAAACAGGGATTTTATGAGACCGTTGAACTTAAGCTTCAATTTACGAGTAGTTGAAACAAAAACTCATTACAAAAGCGCAACCAAAGATAACAGTAACAACAACAACAACAGCAACCCAGAATGCCTCAAAAATTATACAACCAAAACTAAATAAACAAACATAAAACCGCTCAGCTCTACAACAAAATATACTAAAATATACGTAAGCTGCAATGCAAACTATATACACATATATACTATATATACATATACAAATATGGGAAAATAATAATCAAAACTTGAACACAAGGGATTGAAAAATAAACACACACACACATACACACACACAAGAGCACAGTTAAGAGTCATGTTTAAGTGTTAGATTTAAGTCAGCAGAAGCTATTGGTTTAGCGCTTAGGAAAACCAAAAAAAACAACAACAACAACAACTACTACTACAACTGCAACTTCACAGCACAACTTAAACACAGACAGGCATACATACACATATATGCGTGTGTATGTGGCATGCGTGTGTGTGTGGCACATCAGGTTAATTATTTTCCATTTACACAGAGAGAATGAGAGAATATGCAAATTTTCTGTGTAATTTGTAAGGTTATGATTTATATTAAAAAGAAAGAAAATAGAAGAAGAAGAAGAAGTTCGGGAATAAGCAGAACTGTTAGCGGATGTGCTGCTGCTGCTGCTGCTGCTGCAGTGCATGCAGCATGCCGCATTACGTATACGCACATGGCGCATACGCCGCGTTGCACACAATGCTCAAGTGGCGTAATTACGACTAAAAACTATAAAGTTGAAATTCATACTCGCACTCAAGTAAACTAAGAGACATGCAAGCGCAACTTACTAACAAACACACACACACACAAACACAAACATTACACATATATACTTATATATAGGATAAAAGTTGTAGGTAATGTCAGTCGTTTCAACTATTGGCTGGGCAAACTGTGTCACTGGCATTTCCGGAAACGTAAGGAAAACTTTTTAATTACCACGGAGAAGTGATTGCACGGCAAGGAGCAGTAGGTGGATTTGGAGCAGGATTAGAGGGAGCAGGCAGTCAGACAGAGAGGCACACAAATATTTGTGCGTATTTTAGCTAAAGACTAAGTGAAAAATGCGGGTTGGCAACATTCTATAGGTTAACATTATACATGGATACTACTTAAAGCAAACAATAAATATGCAAATCTAAATCAATATTTACCCTAGCTAGTTAGAACAAACGAAAGAGAAATCAAAACCGAATTGTCAAAATATATACATATATGTACATGTATGTGTGGGTGTTGTGACAAATAATTTTGCATGGAAACATTTCATTACAATAAATTGCAAATGCAAATCACTTACATTTTTCCATAGGCAAATTGAACAGGTAAAAAAAATTAATGCAAATGCAAATAAATCGTATTGAAGAATGATAATCGTAAGTCGTACCTCAATGTTTATGTATTAAAATAAAAACAAGAATCAAAAACAATTTAAAAATGCAAATGCAATTATATCTAGACCTAACATACATACACATATATATATGTATGTATGTTTAAATGAGGCTATAGATATAAATATACACTAGCAATCAGGGCAGGCAGGCAGTCAATATGACTCATATGACCAATATGATCATATGACCCAAAAGATCTTCCAAACAGTCCATATACCAAATAACTTCCCAAACTCTCAAATAAATTCAACTCTTGCCTCGCTCACACACAACATACATTAAATACATATTTAGCTTAAGTTTGGGTGTCTAATAACTGCAGGCAAACAAAACATAACATAGATATATACATACATATATAGTACTATATGCATAGAGATCCAAGACAGACTTAAAGATCAAATGTCAGGTTGTTCAAGCTATACTCTCAAATAGTCAGCAGAAGTAAATAAATAAAGAATAAATAGAAGTAAATTCCTTAGTATCTACAAATGTTTACAGTTCACACTGGGCTTCACAGCAGTAAAATCAAAAGAACGTAAAAATCAAAATATATACGAATTACAATTTGTAAGACAACATACATATACTACTAACTATATACAAGACATAAATATACATACGTAAATACATGGCTAACTAAATTACTAAAATACAATTTAAATACCACGAGCGAAACAAATTCAAAACAAAATAATAATAAATGGCAAAATAATCTCTTCAAAACTAAAAATTTATCGCAAAAATCAATACAAAAAATCAAAAATTGTCAAAGAGGCAAAACCGTATACCACTTAATAAATAATCAAAATCAAATAATAATCGAAAAGCTCTAAAATCAACAAAAACAAAACAAAAAACATCAAATCAAATAAAATGAAATCAAATGTTAATTAAGCTCACAAATATGGCAAAGGCAAACTAAACTAAGCTAAACGGAATAGCTAATTAAACAACAATGCAAATTAATGTCAATGTGCTCTACGGACAGTGACCAAATGACATGACAACGCCCCTCATCCCTCAGCCCTTACCCAAGCACCCTCACTCTACAGAACAGTTATGTTGTAGCCGCCCCAAAGACAAACAAATTTCAAAAATACTTCAATTAGTTAATTAATAAAAGTTTACTTAATTTTCGTAGCAGGTAAGTGCTTTAATTTTTGATTTGTTTTCTAATGTAAATTATAGCAACAAATTATGAATTATATTATGCGAATTAGCAGTTAAACAAATTAACGGGTGATATTTAATTTTTGTTATTGTTAAATATTATCTTGAAGATAATACAAAAACAAATAAATATATATATATGTATATTATATATAATTCAGAAATCAAAGATAATTCATTTCTTATTGATTTATGCATTATATATTTCTATACATATGTATATATGGGTAAAACATATTTAAGTTTGTATAGGTTGTAAGCCTAAGCGATACAGTTACATGATTAGCTAAACAAATCAACAACAACAACAACAGCAACAGCAAAACAACAACAACACTTAAATATATTGAAATATATATACATATATATTTAGTTGGCATCGCTTGATTAATTAATCATTAAATAATTAAAAACTTATAAAAAACAGTTAAACAAAAATCAATTAAAATTGCAAATGGAAATGAAGCAAGTTTTACCCTTTTTAAACAGTTTTTGTCATTTTACAATAATCTGTTTTGCATTTTCTTATAATTATACCAAAACAAAACAAACAAAACAATTAACAGACAACTGTGCCAGATTTATGAAAAAAAAAGAAAAAGAACAACAAAAACATTACATTATATAATTATAATATATATATAAAGTATATAAATGTCTTATGGTTACACACACGTGTCCCCACAACGAACCAAAAACCTCCACGATTTTCCTTCACTTTCTATCTCTCTCTTGCTCTCTCATTTTAAAATATTTTTTAAAGCAAAAAAAAAAAAAAAAAAAACAATGAAAAATACTAAACTTTATTTTGCTTTTCCATTGCATTTTTGTATAAAAAAAAAACCCTCATGAGCCCAATAAAGCCTTAAATAATTTAAAAACAAGATCCATCCAGCTCAATTCAAAATTTTAGCTGTTGCAGTTGCTCTAACTTCTTCTTGCACTTCTCACTATCTCGCCTTCTCTTTCTTTCTCTCATAAAAAGAGTTTTGTAATTACATATTTATACTCATTCTCGAATGTGAAATGAGCATATTGGTTTTGTGAAATCTCCGTGTTGCTGTTCGTCCGTTAAAGAGCTAGAAACTCTTTTACCTGCTCTATTGATATTTATATTGAATCTAGTAGCATTTGGGCCGTGAATGAGTATTCCTCAGTCAGCATTGCCCGACTGCAACGTTCTTACTATTTTCCTTTCATTTCTGATCCAAAACACTTTACAAAAATACAAAAAAAGAAAAAAATGTTGGCATAAAATGCAAAACTGATAAAAATTAAATTCGAACAATTTGTTGAATATTCAAATGCAAATATATACATATGTATTATCTATAGACATATATTATATGCCTATATAAAAGAAAAAACAGTAATGAAAAAATGAATACCAAGCGATGTCAACATTTTCCAAAGAACCCACAGAACTAAACTTGATCCCAAAACAAACAAAATTTAACTTTATACCAATTTTAATTAGTTAATTTCTAGCTTAGCTGTTGCAGTACCCCTCAACCCTACCCCACCCCGCTAAGCCCCATCTTAAGTAGCCAACGAGCAAAAAGTAGCTTTCATTCTTATGCATTACAAAAAGTAAATAAATTAGTTTTGCTTATATTTTATTTAAGATAAATTGCGGAACGTTGAAAGTATTCTCGATCGAATCTGAATAAAGTTAAAGCTGATTTGAAATACTTTCAACGCTCGGCGCTTGCATGCTTTTCGACAATAAATTGGCCGAATCTCTGAACTGTAACACGAAAATTAAAAATATTTTAAACAATTACTAAACATGGAGAGCTTCTCACTCTTGCCGCTTCTCAGAAACTCTCAACTCTTTGAAGAAAATTTCATATTTTTTCCATATATGGTTTCCATTGTATCTTTTCTTTTTTCTTTCATTTAATTGTAGGGTCCCCGGTGTGGAAACCACGAGACATGATAAATTTAGGCACAGATCCACAGTCAACAACCCGCAAAGACGATGTGAAAAATTAAAACAGAAAAAGCAAAACAAATACAAATAATGAATAATGAATAAAAACGAGAAATAAGTAAAAGTAACTACATTTCTTTTGTTACATTTTAACTAATCAAGTGTAAGGAGAACAGTGTATACACTGCAAGAAAAATCACACACACACACTAATAATACGAACTAACACTTTTTCACCCCTTTTCCCGCAAATGAAAAAGAAAATCAAAGCAACTACAAAATAAGATTTACAAATTATTTATTATTAAATACTTCAAATACTGAAAGAAATTGTTAAAGTTGCTTTCGAAAACGTGAAAAAGTTTCGAAATTAAGTAAAACATCGAATGAGGAAGTAGAAGAAGAAGCAGAAGCAGAAGAAGAAGAAGAAGAAGAAAGGCGATAAGAAACGTTTGTTGTTTTTTGTTTACGTTTTTTGAATGAATGGAACAACAAATACAAAAGACTTTGATTTATATAATATCGATTGTATTTAAATGTGCGAACACATATAATAACGTATAATTATAGCAAAGGA